TTCAGTCAAATGTAAACAAACTTCGTAAAGCAAATAGGAAAAAGAAAAAAAAACGAAACAAAAAACCATTTACGAATGTGAGTCTAAGGAAGAACACTTGGAAAACAGTTTAACTTTCCAAACGATACAATTTGAAACGATTTATATTTTACTGACAAAAACTAGAAAAGTGTAAGCCAACCCGTACAAAACAGCAATGACGAGAAAGAAAGCAAGCTTCGCTTCAGGCCAAATTGCCAAATAATAAACCTTTTAATAACCTCGCTTTCTCGGTGTTTACTGAGAAATATCAGACCTCTGTCTTTTTGTACAAGACCTCGCACTCGGTTATTAAGGGCTTATTAAAGACGAACAGTGTAGTTCTACTCATAATATGAAATCTGTGAAATCGGTGCCACTCCTTTTCCATTCACTATAAAGTTATATAAGAAGGCAAACTCGTTTTTTGAGCCTGTATTCCTTATGGAATACGGCGATTTTAAGATGTTTGACGTTCATTTCAGTTTTTAACTTTTGATAGCAAACAATCACATGTTGGTGTAAACTTAAATGATGATGAGGAATAATCTATATCAAAGAGAAGAGCTTTGCGATGTGGCATCACATAATAAAGATAGACTTTCGCTCTATTCAAAAGACTTTCAAATCATCAGTTTCTTTTTACGTTTTCTATCGCTTTGGCGTCCTTTATCTGCGGGCTATCTAGAAAGGTATGTGTATCCAATCACAATAAATCTCTTGCTGGCTTTTAATTTCATTCGCAATGCCATACAAGGATATGAAAAATCCGGCTTGCTCAACATTCAGTTTTTGTACATGGGGCACGAAATCGTAGTGTGGATTGGCCATATTCTTGCAAACCGCTACTTTGCCTCGAGAGATTTGGAAAACAATGTCCTTTCTCCGCTACAACCGTTAGCTGGCATTAGGAAAGTCTTGTGTCGCAAACTTCGAATTTTTAACGCTTTTGTCGTTGCGTCGATGCTGTTCTTTTCCATTATGTTGTGGACTCTCTACATCGTGACAGGTGTAACTTGGCACCATGGTGCTAACAAAGTTTCAGCAGAATTATCTTTTCTCCATGGCTAGACTGATAACGTTGTCTATGGCCTCTTATCGTCGCAATTGTCCACGATGTAGGAGTAGGACTTGCACTTTTCTGGACACTGGCACTTCTATTTGTTTGCTTTGCAGCTCGTTTGAAAATCCTGGAGAAAATCTTTTTAAAATGGACGCAGCCTTCAGTCGATGCCGTTTCGTGTTTCGTACAAGTTTATGCAAAACCAGTGAAGCAATCGTGGAAGAGATTGTCTTGGTGGTTCATTACGCAAAATGTTGTTGCTCTTGGCATACCACTATACGGTTACAGCTTGGCTCAAGCCATATCAGGCAGTGACGAACAGCGTTCAAGATATCTTCCGCAGTTCATTTGTTATCTGATTTTCATCGTGACGATATGGCTCGCACCAATATTCGTTGGGGAACTAATCAAGCGGCGGGAAAAAAAGTTCGAAGAGCGAATAAATAACGTTTGCCCATGGTTAATTGATGCTAATTGTTCTTTGCTGATTGTCCTCGCAAATTCACGCCATGTATTTCAACAGCTGCCATTTGAAGATTTAAACGACCCTCCCACCCTCCGACACCTAAACATCGACCTTTCGATTAAGTCCATCAAACAATAGTGATGAATGGTGAGTTATTGGCATTTTAAGTAATCATAAATTTAATTCATGTTGGAATATACCGAATATTCTTCAAGAGCAAACTTTCAGATTTGCAGCACCTGTGAAAGCAGCCCAGACGCCGTACCTCCCCATCTCAAGAATTCACATGACTAACGCTTGCTTTTGCAGAACAATATACTAAAGTATTTTTTTCTTTATTAGTAAGCAGTGATATTTCTTAATTTCGTGCAATTTGATTGGCTGCTGCAGAGGGTGACTTTTACCATCTCTTGGCCGTTGTCCAATAGTGATATTTTTTGGCAATGAATTTGTTTACAAAGTGAAATTTACATCTTAAAATGTAATTTCAAGCCATGCAAAGTATTCAAGAAGGAAACAAAACGTAGCATATAAAACAATCAAATTTTAGTCTTAAGAAGTTACATCGGCTATACTACAACGCAAAATTCTTCGTTGCAATAATAAAAAAACTAATTTGTATTAAATTGCTGTTTAGGCCGAGCTCTACTTGAAAAATATTTTCACTAGGCTTCAAAAAATGTTGTGAAAATATTTTTCACTACATTCTTTGCATATGGCAAATATAATATATATGTATTTATACTTTTTTATTACTGACATCAAAAAAATTAAGATCTCTCTTTTCCCTTCTTTTATTTTTAATTTACTGTGCAAACTGAATTAATTTGATCCTTTGAAATTTGATTAAAACATGTTCGCGTAGCATGGTATGTGTTGGACATTACTTTCTTACCAAAATACTTGAGAAAAATTTTTCCATTTTTAATATTTTTAACATTCAGATATGCCATGCTTCTTTGTACCAGTCTTCCTTGGTCTTTGGGATTCTTGGATCTGTAGTTTGGTTAGCATGAAATAACAGCGATTTGGTTCCAAGAAACTTTACAAAAACTATACCGTGTTTCTTGTGTACTCCTGGAGTGGTGGTGGGATACAAGGCACGGTTCAATGACGTCCCTCCCTCGGCAACTTTGTATGTCTTATCATACAAGTAAGCACCGCGCACACTTCCCCCGATATAGCCACCTCCTCCTCCAGGAAGTAAACCAGATGCACCACCACCACCAAACCCACCATTGGCACCTCCTTTGTCATAACCGTTGTCGCTATCACCTGTTACTAGGTTGAACTTACGCCGCCTTATAAAACCTCCTTTTCCGCCATGTTCGAATGCTTTTCCTCCCCAACCTTTTAGATAGCCTGCGCCATCTCGATGAAAACCACCTCCAGCTCCGGCAATGCAGGCGTGGTTTTGACTAGTTTTCATTATGGTAATGTTCCTTTGAGGATCGTAGAGATGTCCTCCTTTTCCTATTTCAGTAAGATATTCTTTCTGTCCTGGCCCACCGGATGAGTACATGCCTAGAGAAAATGTTGCAAAATTATGCATATTTTCACTTTAAAGCTATTACACCAAAAATGGAGAAACCAAGGTCCTTATATTGTTTTAGATGCTTATCAAGGGGGCGTTTGAACGATGAACGACACTGCAGGAACAATATATTTATAACGTGTTGAATGCATTATATTTTTCCAAATGCATGCCTCATAAAGTCGTTAATAGAAAAAATATAAATGGAACATTTGCCAATCAAGATGAAAATTATATTATCTCAGCTTAACTTTTTTTGTGCCCAACTAAAGCATTCAATCGACATTAAATTCTTTCCTATACCAAATTTACGTGTTGAAATGTGAATTAAATTCACTGCTTCAAATAATGTATTGAATATTATTTTCGACTGAGCTTACCATAGTGGTATCTCTAAAAATTCTTTTATTTACTACCTACCAAGTTTGGGAACTCCTCCACCACCTCCACCGCCAGCGATCATAAGTGGTTCATCTTCACTGGATGTAATAAAAGTACCACCACCTCCAGATCCAGCTCTGAAATGAGTCAAATGATCTCGTTCACCATGATGACCAACCAAAATTTTTAACACTGCTCCCTCCTTGAGTTTCATTTTCCCTGTCAATTTTGCACCTAGTCCTCCTTTTAGGCGTCCATTGTGTCCGGCATAAAGGCCATCACTCCCTGACGCTCCGTATACTTCAAAGTACCACACTCCAGTTATTGGAATCGTCCACAACTGTATGCCACGGATGACTTTAACTTCTTTTTCCAAAACGGTTCCTTCGTACTCTTTACAATGTGTCGGACCCAAATGCCCCGACCGACCGAGATTCGTAAACACGCGTACTAATTAAATTAAACTAAAATACAGAAAATCCGCAAACACCAGTTGAGATATTGTTTATAGTATTAACTTAATGAGGACAATTGCCTCCAAATTTGGGCCAAAAAAGTTGAACTGCTGTTTCGGTAAGCAACACTCTTTCATTAAGTGTTAGCAAAAGTAAAACACGAAAAACATCCCTTATATTTCTTAATTTATGCACCTAAATTAAGTAAAGCAGTGCAAAATTTGTCAATGAACAAAGCAAACATTGAAAGATTTTGACACTTACAAAAAGACAGAATGCAACTTACCAATCGTTGGTTTTTTCCCAGCTTTATTATTAGTTTTCAGCACAGCTATAGCGCCAACTGCAACAACGGCAATAACTAAAATTGCGACACAAAGTGCTACAAAGACAGCGATCTTTTTCCTTCGTTCTGCTACACTCGCGTGCCCTTGGCGTTTTGGGGGCGCCATTGTCTATAGCGCGCGTGTTATAAATGCATTGTGACGTTGCATTGATTAATGATGAAAAAATTTTGGATAGAAAATTTATACGTACTACGTACATGAAAAACAAGCAAACCTGAAATTACTTTAAAGTGAATGGTTTGAGTCTGGGAGTATCGTTAAATGTTTGTAGATGTGGATCGTTTAGGTAGGCAGAGTCACGAGGACTATTGTTGTTGATGTTGACTGACGTTGCGACATCCTTAGCGGTAATTGACTCTGAAGATGACTTCCTCTAATATAAGGATGTCAAAACGTCAATCACATCGATCAACACCAACATTCCTTTTCTGGACTCTACTAATCTAGACGATCTACACCTACAAACATCTGAAATTTTTTCTAAATTCTTATTTATGTTAGTATTAACCATCAAAGTAAATGCAAAGATTTAAATTCCTGGTAAACTCAGAATATAATGCTGTTATCATACAAGTTAGATTTTACTTTCTAAACAGCCTCCCAGCTTTAAAATCATCACAATCTCATAAAGCATTAGTTGTTGTGGCTTCAGGCTATATATAGAGCAGCAGGAGTTCTGTTGGTGCAATCTTGATCCCTACATGCTTCTTTACTTTTGAAAGAAACAAAGCACAACTTGACTTGTTATAAAATCCTTTATAAAAACTAAAACGTACATCTTCAGTCATAAGTTTACTTCAAGGCTTGCTAAAACTGATTAGATCATAACATATCTGTATAAAGTATAAAGACGTGGAGCGAAATTGAAAGTGATTTTTGTTGGGTGCAACCGTTCAAGCTTTACATTACGTTGGGTGCAACCGTTCAAGCTTTACACTAATTTTTAGTGTTATTACTAGTTTAAGTAAAACTGACTTCATCTTGAGAAAAAATTCTTTCCCTTCTTATCTTTTTTCTTACAATTTCGACATTTTCTCATTTGCAACACAACCGCGTGAAAGACCTGTTTCACGTTAGTGTTGCTCAGTGCCGAGCTTTCGTGGAACAGACACTCGTGCTCTATGGCGAAATCGCTCGCTTCTTGGTGACTCACAATCCTGTCATGAGTAAGATCCACTTTGTTACCAACTAAACCAACGCATGTAAGACCACCTGGTGCTTTCATTTTCTTCACTTCCCGTATTAGTTTAACGAGCTGCTTTGCCGTCTCAAAACTCATGCGATCGGTGATAGAGTAGACGACGAGGAAACCCTGGTACTCATTGTGGTAAACGTGTGGTTCGTTCTAAAGTATCCACCAAAAAACGCAAGTTGACAATGTGAAAGATGACAATATGAATACAGTTTTACATGCATGATTGATCACTGAAAATACTCTGATTTCTTAAAGAATATGTATCAGCCAAGATGTCTTTCGCGCTAATCACAGCAATCGAGAAAATGGCGGATGTTGTTATTGTAGTCCATGCAAATTATACAAACGATAATAATTAATGTAAAATTGAATTTTCAATAGATGTTTTTTGCTAACTTTTGACATAAATTAGACGAGGTATTGACGAAATTGAATTCAGTGTGCCACAACCTCAAAAAGTAACGATGACACATAAGCAACAGCGCGCAATGCATCCTGGTTGACACACATTCTATGTGTTGACTTGGAATTTCACATTCTTCGAAAAAGGAAGTTTATCTTTGGTCATTAAGTTTAATACATCGATTCACCTGCTTTCTCGCACAAATTTTGTAAGTTTTGTATTTTTAAATAAAAATTGAAACAACTTTGAAATATCGCATTACTGATGTTAAAGAGAAAGGGCATTAACATACTGTATTTGCAGTATCAAATATCTTCATATCGGCAGCTTCTTCGTCAATCACTTCTGTCATTTCACAATTGAATTCTATGAAAACAATACAACATTAAGATGCATTTCATTGCATTATAGCTAAACGCTGATTTATACAGAAACATAAAATGTTCTCTAACATAGAAAAGTTCTATAAGAATTAAGTACTTAACAATAAAAAATCATAATTCCATAAATATGTAGTTACTTTTCATATCTAAGGCTGAGCAAACACGTTAGCCATTAGTTTTTGTAATTTTCAATGTTACTACGTGCGCATGCTTGACACAATAGCTTTCAACTCGCTTACCCGGGACAACTCGGGAAAAGGTGATAACATGAGCGAGCGAGACAATTTTCATCACGGATAACCGAGTTGCCCGGCTGTCAATAGCCGATATCCGGCAAAGCGAGTTGACTCTTTTACCATGTAATCATATTGCTTTTTTTTAAATAGTAAATCTTAAAGAGGCCGCGGCATCGGCAAAATTGTCTCACCTCGGCTAGCCGGGACAACTCGGTCCATGTAATCGGCCCATTAGGGCCTGTTTATTTGGAGCCGAGTTACCCGGCTGAGCGAGTTACTCGCCAAGCCGGGTAACTCGGCCCTTATATAAAATGAATGCATTTCCCGGTGAATCGTTTAAATGACACATCCGAGTAACTCGCCTAGCCGGGATCTCGGTTTGTGTAAGCGAGTTACCCGGCTAGGCGGGAGGAATTTTTCCACATAAACGAATTTGCCGGGTAACTCGGCGAGGTGAGAAAATTGGCTTTGTTGGTACGCATGCGTACTAAGCCTTGTACTTGCAGCATAATTATACAAAAAAACGTACACATATCATAATTTTCAATTTTATATTTACCCATTCCATTTTTGCTGTGAAACTGTGAGGCTTTTTAAAATCTCGCGCCTTTGCTCGAAGTTAGCATAGCCAAACTTCTTTTAAGACAAATGAACGGAAGTACTAGCCGAGTTACCCGGTGCCATATAAGCAGATTACTTTGTCTAACCCGGTTGAGCGAGTAACTCGCTCATCCGGGTAACTCGGCTCCATATAAACAGTCCCTTAGTAATACACGGCTGATTAGAAGTAGAGCATCGACTAATTTAACATAATATTACATTTCAAAAGAGCTCAGAGTAACTTTCGTGTTTTGAAAGCTAAAATTATTAAGCCCTTAATAACTGAGCTCGAGGTCTTTAAGGAGAAATATCGGACCGATGTCTTTTTGTACAGGTACAATATTTCTCAGTAAAGACCGAGAAAGCAAGGTTATTAAATGAATTATTGTATGGCATTATTTGACCTGAAACGAAGCTTGCTTTCTTGAACGAAGCCAGATTTCAAATGTCTTGCCAAAATTGTAGCAACAATGGTTGTTGCGTGTTTTATCAGAATTCGTATAAGTTTTTTTTATTAAAAATGAATGTTTATCTATTTGAAGTATTCTTTTTTAATCAAATTTTTTTTATGTCCAGACCAAGCAACTTTGTTGGAAATGTCATGTTTTCATTTGTAACATGTAATGTTTATTGATCAGGAAAACAACTTTATTGCCAAAATATCATACCTAACGTCGGAGAGTATTCGTAAATGAATTTTCCTGTTGAGAAGCGCACAAGGAGAGCTTAAAAAGAAAATATGGGAATTATTTTAAGTCTACTTATGCAGGCATATGAATTTAGCTTTACGTAGCCTCAGTAGCGAAACCAGCCTATTTTTTACTCCTTGGAAATATTTTTGCATTCAATCCCTAAAAAAACATTGAAAGATTGATTTTCTAAAAAAATGAATAACAATATCAGGAAAATTTGATAGAGAAAAAGATCGGATTGTTTACACCACTGCGAAGCAAAACACGTTTTACACAACGACACTTCGACACATTAAAATCGTCTCTGGAGGTTTTTATCACTGTCTCCTTTAGTACAAGGGCGGGCTACTTTTTATTCGCCTCAAATACAGTGCATTATTCGTTACCTTGCCCGCTTTAGTTGCTCTAATTGTGTCTTCTTTCAAAAATTCTCCATTTTGGTGCTATCAGCGGGTAGCAAACTCAACAAACGGGGGGTCACATACTGATATATGCATGCTCTGCAGTATAATAAGTTCTTTTCTACGAATGAAAACTTGCATGAATGAATATTTGCCCCCTCCCCTTTCTACGCTACTGATGTAGTATTATTATAAGTTGAAATTGAATGTTTAAATTAAACGAGCATTTTACACAATATAAGTGAATGGTTTGAGCCCGGAAGTATTAGCAAAGTATTTTAGCTACTTAATATTAATATTTTTGAGTAAGCAGGAACAAACTAGTTCTATCACCACAAGCACAATACGCACGGAAGTAGAGCAAAAGTTGAGTCACGATTGTCACCACTTAAACTAATCTTTATACCTTTCAAGTTTACCTCATTTGCACTTAAATAACGGCCACATCAACGACAAAAATCACTCTTAATTGTTTATTGTGCGGTGGAATTTTAAATAATTACGACCACTCTACGACATTGTGGAAACAAACATATTTGCTTTGTAGCGTTCTCTCACTTTTATCTATTTCTGTTGGGATAATCGTCTCATTCACCCGTTACTGACGTATTTTCTGGGTACGACGACACAGAGTCTTAGCTTTATATTTTATTAATTTATGTAACCTTCTCTAGGATTTTTTATTTAAAACATTCTGATTTATCGATTTAAAGTTATTAACAGGAATGAATTCGTTAAAGGCTTGACTCTTGAGCGGTGAGGTCAGTTTTTGTCAAATGCTGATTCATAACTAAAATAGCCAAAAATTGCACCGTTGGCTATTCTAATATCTTTTCTAATTTCGTTCTTAAAGTGGTTATGCAACGAATTTTTTGCTTTGCTTTTTATTAGCTTATTGAAATATTCGGCTTTTGAGAAGCAATCTGGTGCATAAATGACTTACGTGCGTTGAGAAAAAATTAATTAAATTTATCTCCAAACTTTGTCATTTCGTTCGAGCTTTTTTGCCGCCATGTTTGTTCGTTGTGACGTACAAACGAGTAGTATTTATTATCATGTGCGAGGTATTTGCCGTGATTTTACAAGCTTTTTAAGGGTAAAAACCAAATGATTTTGTTTGAAATTAAAACAGATCCTTTTAATACAAGTTATTCACGGATGTGCGGTAAAGAGTTCTCAAATAATACTTAATCACACAAATTTTGAGTATGTATAATACTACCTCTAATACAATTCATATAAGTACATTAGCGATAGTGTGGCATGTAAGATGAAATTTTTTTGTGCACGACGACCAATCTTTTGTATAAGAAAGCATAAAATGTCGAAACAAGCCCTGATGAACGGACATAATCCTTCAATAGAAAATAATACAAAGAAATAACAGTAGATCCACTAGAACTAGTGGTAGTGTTTATTCAATGAATATTATTTCTTTTGATATAAGTTGTTTGATGTTTAAAAATGAGTGATGAATAAAGAAAAGTAAATATTTTGACTTATTTGTTAAGTATGAAGTACAATTTCAATATTGCAAACGTATTTGATGGAAGGTATAATGGAGAACATATCGTGTCAGTAATGAATACATAAAATGTGTAACCAACAACACCTAGTACAGAGATTCTAGGCAAATAGTATAACACATCATGCTGTTCATGTGGGCAGCAGTCATTAAATCAAAAGGATTGTTTCATATTAGCTATTAAATGTTTGCTATTTACAGTGCAATATATTTGCTATAATTTGCAATTTCGATGCCCATGTAAGAGTTTATTAGGCAAACTACCAAGATGGGATGATAAAAGGCTTCAATAGCTGAATAAAAGAGTCATACTACTCAACTGGGTCAATATGATCAGTGTGGAAATGTCTTAATTATAAATATGTATAAAATGTAATCCACAGTCAGAGTTATGTAAATATTTGGATTTATAAGTTAGCTGAATTACATATCACGTACAAGAGACACTCAGATCTTCCTTGTATAAAGTTTCTTTGGTTTTGTTTCCACAAGTTCATTGTCTTTTACTACACTTTATTCGTGTTAATTGCACGTTCTTCTTTATGTTCTTGTTCGCACAAAAATTGACAAAAATCGCAACTTTAGGCGACTGTAGAAACAGTTGGAAAAGGCCAATTTTAATTCTGTTTTCAGAATTCTAATCAGAAAAGAGACTTTTATAAAATAAGCTCCTAAAAAGCTAAGTGAAAAGTTCGTTGCATAGCCACTTTAAAATATCAATAGTAACCTCCTTACATGCTATCTCCGTTGTTATGTTTTTCTTTCACTCGTTCTCATCCCTAAATATAGTTCCTGTCACCTTTCCAATTCTTATCAATCATAACGATAAATTAAGCTATTAAAGTATCTGTTTACTACAGCTAAATGGCATATGGCATCAGTTGTTTGCCAAGCTACAGATGCCAAGAGGTAATTTATACTCAACTTGTACATCTGTAATTAAGTCCAATTATCGGAAACGATATGATATAAAAACCAAATTCTTGGCTTTAGAAGGTTGAATTTAAATGGAAGAATGTATGAAAATAATTAGCAAAATGTGTGTTGCAAGGGAGATATTTTATCGAGTTGTCAAATTGTATTTCCTTACCTGATATAAACATAAACTTGTAGGTAAAGATCAACAAATCACACTTAAAGAGACATTGAAGTTAAAAACTGAAATAAAAGTGCACTCAAAAATCAATCCATCATAAATTAAAACAACATGGCCGCAACTCTGGAGTGAAAGATTACATATCGACGAGAAATAAGTTGTGACAGCCACACAAGTTGCAGATGTTCTAATCATGGTAATTAATGCACTTGCTTGCATGAAGGTTACCTGATTTTCCAACGCCTCCCTGACCGAGCAGCACAATATTAAAATCGCGGTCTTTAATGGAATTCATTTTTTTTACGTGGATTGGTTTAGAAGTGCTTGTTACCTCCATCGTTATCGCCAGAAAAACGACATGTATGTTGAGAGTCAACGGAGTAGTCATATGTTAAATTAAGATTTTAGTATTGTTATAATTTGCTTAATATGTGCATCCACATGAGGTCTTGAGCGCAATGCTCAAAGAAGGTCTGTGGAAATAAACTTTAACTAGAAACAAAGTATAATAGACCGCATGCAGGACTCCATAGAGAAGGCCCCGCTGTTCAAAGACAGTGCACTTCGAAAGAATCAGAACAAACACTTGGCGTTCTAATGCTTAAGCTCTTGTAATCTAACAAATTATATTTCAATCCCGCGGTGGATGCCATCAAAAGTTATTTGGTCGAATAGTTTTAGCCAAAGATGTGGCAGATATGTTTTCGTTTGTAAAATGACAGCGAGTTGTAAAGCGCTATTTACGAAGACAGACGCGGTAGAAGTGCGAGCAAATTTATTTTGAATGCAACCAATCTGCCTAAATGCAACCACCCTCTGGGAAGAGCGATAGCTAATGGCTATAAGGATGTTTTTTTTTGAAGCAAACATTCAATCAAACGTTCGGCCTTATGTCCAAATAAAATCATTCGTCTCGGAAAGAAATGGGACTTTAGGAGAACTATTATGGAAGATAAAACACGATCAGAGTCAGACCATAAGCGGCCCAATAAATCACTTAGCTAGCTAAATTTTATAAACAAAAGATAACTCGTCTCATTTCATCGTAATACAATTTCTACAAAGTTTGCGGCGCACAGTCTGTTACAATGGAATGGGACGAGTTATCGTTTGTTTCATACAATTTAGCTAGCTAAGTGATTTATTGGGCCGCCTATGATCAGACGTGGAAAAACAAAATTATAAGAAACTTCGAAAAATGGTTTATAATGTGATTATTTCCAATTGTGAATTTTGCTGTCAAATTTGCAAAACATTATGAGAAATTCGGCCTACCCTCGCCATTGAACAAAAAGCGCAATTTTAAATGGTGTTTCTAAAATGCAGTCGTCATTTGTAATTCACCTTGTAAAAAAGAAGTGCAGAGTAAACAATTATAAGTTGTACATTATAGATCGAAATTGTACCCATATAAGTCCTTAGGAAAAACTTTCGTTTCTCGTCAAAGACATTTTTCCTTGCTATCTCAATGTAACTCGAATGGAGTACAGAAAGATAAATATATCAGGACGTTTTTCCATTTTTCCGACAAAGGATAAATTACTTGATGAAAAAAACCATTAAGCCGCTCCAAATTTAGGTATAAAGGCATAAAGCTTTATCTCTATTTACCATCTAAGAGTATCATTGATTTTGAACGGTTAACAGTCGTAATGGTGATTGTTACCAACTACAAACAGCAATGAATGTATGTTTAATATCTTCGGTCAGGACAGATGTTAATGTTGGAGGTCGCTACCAGAGTAGAGTTAATATTTTTTGTGTCAAAGAAGAAAAGAATGTGGTATGTGTTAATTTGTTATAACTGATTCAAATAAAAGATGCCATCTTTATTGTAGACATGCGAGACGTTCTCGTCACAAATAAATGAAGTCGATAAACGACTGGCTTATCCGTGTTAAACTGTTTAGTGTTGCCCTCATATAATAAAGTTGCTATTATTATTAATGGTCAGCGATGTACACGAAAACAAACTGAATATCAGAATGTCTGCCTACCATTCACAAGAACAAGATTAATTTGAATTGAAATGTCATTTACACAGTAATAGTTATTTCAATCATGAAGTCTGTTCTACCCAAGCAGTATATTAATTAATACATACGCATTCCACTAGGACGAATTCAACTGAATAACAATATAAAACAGGCAACAGTTTGCCATCGACATTTAAAGCTCGAAGTAAAATTTAGAACATCGCAAAAGTTTTATGTCGTATTTAAGTCGTATTCTGAAAATTACTTCTACAACAGAGTTTCTTTTGCTCGTAATTAGCTACATTCCAGTAAATGTCATTGCCGATAGATATAAACTTTTTGAATAACTAGTCGCTTAATATTGCACGAGCTTGGTCATATTTAAGTTATAGTAAAAATGTTTATTTTCACTTTGTTATAATTTGTCATAGCCTTTTAATCATTTTTTCTTTTAATGGGAAGAGAAAGCGTGAAAATGAATGGTAATGATGGTAATAAGAATGTATGCATTCATAAAAATGTGCGCTGTACAACTTGTTTATGTAATAAAACTGCAAAAACAGCCAAACGTTCGACGATATACGTCCTGCCCATATATCTGTATGTTTCGACTTAACTTACCCCCGTGTTTCTAAGCGCGTTAATTATGATAAACTTTACAATATCCTCATCATTTATTTTTCTTCATACATGCGAATTGTATTTTTTGATTTTGTGCTAGCTGATCCTGATTGGCTGCAGCAGAGGCGGCTTTTTATAATATCTCAACCATAGATCATTACCTCAAACCAAAAGTGCTATTTTGTTGTAATGTATTAGCTTGCAAACTAAACTTTGTAGGATACAATCCAATTATAGTCACAACAAGCTATACATCGACAATTTTTCTTCGTTGTAAAAATAAAAAATAAAAACGTTATTTACCGTTTACGTCGTTACGTACTTAAAAAATATTTTTAGCACGGACCGCCAAATAACATACATTTATATCGACAGCATTTGCAGACAGAAACAAAACGTCTCAAATCTGGAAATGTTTAATATAGTACGAATTTACAATTGTAAATGTTTATAAAAGTAAATTAAAGTGGTAAAATTCTTACTGAGAACTATTCCTACTGTCAAGCTTAGACAGCAATTATGATTTTAATGCATAAAGAAGCAGCACTTTTATGTTACATTCACTACTTCAAAGCGATGCTAACATCAGCTTCTGTGAAAATAAATTGCAAATACATGACGTATGTCAGGAGCGGTAAAATACCCGCAGTTAAGTTATCCCAAATTACGATGTAAGATAGCTATACAACATTATACATGCTAATATTAAATAACAATCAGTGCACGTTATTTCTACTCATAGATCAACGGTAATACAATCATCACTCATGAAATCAAGTTAATCGAGATGCCTATTGCGTTGGCAAAAGGACAAACAATTTACATCTAAAATGTTCATTGATAGATGGTTATGCTTCGACCAAAGGATCGTCATCGGAGAAGCCTTGGATTAAGGGGGAATCCTCCTCCTCACCTGAGAAAAATAAAAGAAGTGAAAGAAAAAGTTGAACACGTAATATACTCCATTGCAGTGGAGCTAAATATAATTGAAGGGGTGTGGGTAGATGGTGTTGATGATTTGAGAAGGGAGAAAAGCAAGTCATTTCATGAATGGTGTGACAGTTATATGTACATAAACAACTGATCTCAAAATACCTTATGTAGACGTATATTGTTTATTTATTTGACTTCACGTGTATAAATAAGCAAGATGAGGGACGTATGACGATCGATAAATAGGGAGAGGGCCCAATATTTATATACGCATAATATTCATTGTGAAATCAGGTGTTTTCTACGGATTACAACAGGCATATGTAAGTATGCCCCCTCTAATTATCGATCTTACTGGGTCCGTGAGCATGAACACTAAAGATGGAGATAGTCAAGAACTTAAGACCAGTGAAATAGCACTTCACATTGGGGTGGACATGCATTGCCATTCACAGTATGATTTCAACACGAAATAAGATTTCCTTACCGGTATTATGATAGGTAATGCCTTGGTCAAAGTCATCGTTGCGTACAAGACGATAGAAGCTTCGATGTAATCGTCGTGACTTCACGACAAAATAGCCCAATGCAGCAAGCAACAAAAAGAACACTACACCGACCGGGACAGCCCAAATTATAATTTTATTCGATTTAGAACCTTTTCTTCCAGAACCTGTTAACATCACATAACATACATAAGTGCGTGGAGAAGTTTCAATGCGACCTGCTGTAAAACAGAACACGCATCATTAACAAAATACATTTTCTATATTTGGAAATAGAACATGGACATCCTGTGCGGATAAACTATGGCGTTCAGTGTTATTGCTATTCAAACACCACCAAGATTTTTTGTGGGTAGTACGCGGGAATATAGGGAATTTACATAAGAACACACACTATGGCAAAACCTTGTTAAACGAACAATGCAATTATGCTTCACGGAGAGAGCAATGCAATTATGCTCTCGGCAAATGTACAAAAACAGATATATGTAAATAAAATTACAACAAGGAATATCACACACTCGCTTCGTGTGACGAGTATACGTTGAATCAGACATTAAAACTCATCGCATTTCCTTTCTTATGGTAGACAAAATCATGAAATCACACGACGACGAATAACAACTCGGACTCGACAGACCACACTTGTCAACCTATACTACGACAATTACCCTAATTGGTTTTACATTGGTTTCACTTTCAAATTAATGAAACGACACTATTGATCCCGATCAATAAATATAAAATTCCTACTACATTTGACGTCTCACGCACAACTTTAGTATAGGTAATAGTACAGTTTCGACAGCAATTACGGATAAACATGCACGAGTGAGTTTTTTAAAGACTGCAATGAAATATTTGCAGTCTATGAAAACTCACGAGTGCATGTTTTTTTTTAATAATTGCATTGAGAAGTTTGTTTGGCTTTCACTGCTTTTCAGCCAATCAGGTTACACTTTTCTAAAGTGCTATTTCAGCTTTTCAAAAGTGCAATCACACATTTTCACAGTGCAATTATAGATAAACTACACTGCAATCAACCAATCGCAGTCGAGAAATATCTCAAAGTATATCATTGAAGTGCTAATGAAAACAAAATTCACCACACAGTTTTATGATTGCAAAGACCATTAAAATCGACTTAAGAACTTCTTCAGTTTTAATTCCCTTCTTTCTTGAGATATTTAAGTTTATTCAACTGTCGAATATGTGAATTAAAAGTTTTTCACCATGCGAGAAATTAATTGTCTTTAAAATGTTATTATGCAACGATATGTCACAGTGATGTGGATTTGCGTATTTAATAAAGTTAAATATCTCTAAAAAGAAGTAAATTAATACAAATCTATTCATGAAGTTATTGTGTTATTTCAAATGTGCAATACATTCAGAAAACCGCATGGTAAAATTTCGTTTCATAACCACTTTAAGAAGATGAAGAATAGATGTCGCGAAATAGAAACTTACGAGGCTCCCTCACTACTACTCCAGACGTATTTCCTATAAAAAATGGAATGGTTAGCATTGTATTTAGATACCCCAGTGAGGTGGAAATACCGACAGCCTTAGGCGTAGAGTATGGGGAAGGGGCTATACCATCGGAAATATCTTTCGGTAGGCTTAGCGCCCCCGCCTCTCAAATTATCATGACTTATCAAATATATTTAAACATATGGGTCAGAAGTCCCAATAATGAAGTAACTTAGAGTGTACATGGTTTTTATAATCAAGACGACTGTATCACTATCATTACTGTAAATAACACATCAAAGCACTGGCAATTACAATTTAGTATTGGTAGGCATAGCTCTGGGTTACTACGAAATGTTAAATTCCTATTGCAACTTTTTACATGTAGAAATAAATTTGCGATTCTTAAAGATATTAACGTGCATTAACGTAAAAACAGCTTTTCGCGAATGATTTTTGTTGGATCATGCAATCTCGATGTTTCTCACTTTAACAGTAAAGTTTCTGCGCATTCCGCCACACATTACAAAGGCTAATTGATTTAGCCGTAAATCTGATTGTCTGCAATGAGTCGGAAGCTGGAAGCAGTTTTAACCCTATGGCATTGTATACTAATACATTAATGTCACTAAAATAAACATCCTTAAAATTTTCATAAGTCAAATATCATAAGTCAAAAAGGGAATTGCACCTGTCGGAGTTCCAGTAGAACGTAAACCCAGCGAATGATTTGTTAAGTTCCAAGTTTCTGTTAATGGAATGGTTAGCATTGTATTTAGATACCCCAGTGAGGTGGACATACCGACACCCTTAGGCGTAGAGTATGGGGAAGGGGCTATACCATCGGAAATATCTTTCGGTAGGCTTAGCGCCCCCGCCTCTCAAATTATCATGACTTATCAAATATATTTAAACATATGGGTCAGAATTTCCAATAATGAAGTAACTTAGAGCGTACATGGTTTGTATAATCAAGACGACTGTATCACTATCATTACTGTAAATAACACATCAAAGCACTGGCAATTACAATTTAGTATTGGTAGGCATAGCTCTGGGTTACTACGAAATGTTAAATTCCTATTGCAACTTTTTACACATGTAGAAATAAATTTGCGATTCTTAAAGATATTAACGTGCATTAACGTAAAAACAGCTTTTCGCGAATGATTTTTGTTGGATCATGCAATCTCGATGTTTCTCACTTTAACAGTAAAGTTTCTGCGCATTCCGCCACACATTACAAAGGCTAATTGATTTAGCCGTAAATCTGATTGTCTGCAATGAGTCGGAAGCTGGAAGCAGTTTTAACCCTATGGCATGGTATACTAATACATTAATGTCACTAAATTATTAATAAACATCCTTAAAATTTTGTCATAAAATGATGATGAAAGTTTCACTCTTACGTGGCAAGGAAATAGAAACCTGTAAGTGCATTGAAATGCACGGTATCTCACTTTTCAGACACACAATCGTCCCCTCGGACTTAGGCCTCAGGCCTCTTTTCAGACCTCGAGAAAACATATTTTCTGTACTTTCCTCCCAGTATATAAACAATATATATTTATATTTGTAGCTGGCGGATATATTTTACGGGCTCTTAAAAGACGCATTGGTTTTTATGATTCGGTTCGAGATTTGCTTCGATATTCGCGTTATATTATACACGAAAGCCGCCATTTTAGGTGTCACCTGAAATACCAACCAAGCGGGCAAACATGATCTTGATACTCAGTCTTTAACAATGCAAAAGGTACTGGTGAAATTTTTCTTGAAAACCACAATCTTTTACTGAGTGAAATTGTTTACTGCAATGAGTTTTCGTGCGTGAAAGCAAACAGCTGCAACTGATTTACCTGTTGCTCTAGGACATGCCATTTCGTCAGATCCATCGTAAACGCAATCTTTCTCTCCATCGCACCTTTTTTTGAGGGAAATACATCTGCTTCTGTCAACACACATGAATGACGCCAAAACATTGCACTTTGTCACTTGAATAAACGGAGAGTAATTATTAGTTCAAAAGTAATTCGTGAAAGAGCAATGCCGGGCAAATTGAATGACAGATATTTTTATACAGCCACTTTCATGTACAATATTAAACAACTACTTAAGTACTATAGTCTACAGCTAGCTACTTTTGTACAACAAATTTTCACACTGCTTAGTTAAATAATACATATTTTATTTCCTGACGTTCTCAAAACAGTTTGGAACTATTAACTTTATGCATACTAGCAAATTCTTATTGCGCGTGTTAGAACGCCTTTCTGCGTGAACAACCTTCAGCAAGAGACTGACTTCACTTGTTTCAACCTTTTTATGCGTCTCGTGCTGTACAGGCTACTCAGATGTACGCAGAGGGTAGTAGCTAAACTCTTCAACAGAGATAGAATGTTATAATGCCCAATCAATGTTTTCCCTTATAGCGAAACGACGATGCATTCAGAAAACCGCCAAATTTTCAGGAGAGTAACAGAAACAGTATTCAAGTAGCAGTATAAGATATTTTTGACCTAAAAATTTAGTACATTTTGTAGTGTACATTTTCACTCTGCTTACCACAATTTATTTCATCTGAATTGTCCTGGCAGTTAGCGTATCCATTACATCGATGAGATCCAAAAATACATCCACTCTTGTCAAGGCATAAGAAATCACTGGGGTTTGGGCATGCTGAAAAAGACAACGTTTGTTTGAATAAACTTGTGAAACCAATGACGATAGGCCTACGCGTGGATACTCGAAGTTTTTTTTTTACATAAGGATATCATCGCTTTTATGAAACGTTGATTTAGCAGTTTCGATAGACGGAATCTTTGCAATATCTTATATTTCTTGTTTTAAATGGACATAAATATTTCTCAGTGTGAATAAAAAAAGTGAATCGAATTTCAATACGCCATAGCGCTTTTAACATTGTGTTTTGCGCTCGTATTTGAATACAGCATGAAAGAGGAGCTTTTTATCTTTACAATGATATGTTTGTTATTTCATAGCAGGCAGAAATGATCGAGTACTCATACAACAAAAATTGCAAGTCGGAATTTCATTTGCCCACCGCTGGCTATTGAATGCAATTATTGAAGCGCATGATCAACACAGGTAGCTACCAACCAGCTGTTTCATTGCTTTTGTTTGAAATCGCAGTAAAATAAACGAATTTAATTCCTAACGGTATAGAAATGGATTTTGAATGCTATTTTTATTTGAGGAGTGCTTGATCATTACTATTGGTTATGAAATGAAAAACATATCAATGGAAAGCTACAGAACTCATCTGTTTTGATATATAAAAATTCAAGAGCAAAACACAATATCGAATGCACAATGACATATAAAAGTTCGATACACAATATTTCATATATACACTGCATGCTCATGGGAAATAATTGTCGGTTGGTTGACAGTAAAAACTATGTCAATAAAACTAGCTATAAAGTAAATGGTTTGAACCCGGGAGTATCGTAACATGTTTGTGGATGAAGATCGTCCAGGTTAGTAGAGTCCTGAGAAGGACTGTTGGTATTGATGTAGACAAACGTTTCGACAACTTTAGCGGTAGTCATCTTGAGGATGCTATGGTTTAGAAATTTGTGCTTTCTCTTGAACATGAACTCTTGGTATTACATTCAGAAAACATGCAAAAGAAAGCCAATATTTCAATTAAGAAGTAAAAGATGTTTTTCGTGTCTGCAAAGGCTTATGCAAAAACGAGGACAAGTTTGAGAGAACTCGAGCGCATATCAATACAACATCTGCTCGCTCAAAAGTTTCCCAAACGCCTCCGAGGTTAAATAAGCTTCAAACACAAAAAATACCTTTTATTTGTTTTATAAATAACAATGAAGCGAAACAGATAAATTTAAAGCAAATATGTTATCTAACATGTATCGATGATTGAGTTGCAAATTCTCTTTGATTTACTCCATGGAGCTCCGATCGGTTTCCCACAATTGCACATGCTAATTAATGCAAACTCAGCTAATGACTAATCCGCGCACGCGTTATATTGCTGTTACTTTATAACACATTATGTTGACTATCAGGAAAAGTATCTTCTAATGCTGTATTTTCAATTTGCCTGTCAGCTAGACAACCAATTAATGAGTACATACCCGTCAACATATTGTTACAAATGTCTTATTCATTAAACAGTTAATTGATAAAATTCAAACCATATGTCATCTCTTGAATTTTTCTAGTAAATGGTTTGAGCCCGCGTGATATCATTTTAGCTACGTTATTACAAGTACTTCGTCAAGGTTAGTGCAGTCCTGGGAGGGACTCTTGATGATGAATGACGTTTCCACAACATAAGTCATCTCAGAGTCAATGCCACCTCACAATATTTACAATAAAAGGTATTCAAGAGCGGTTGACAAACTTATCGCCATTTTTGTCGGCGTAAAAGTTAGTGAAACAAATAGATTATACTTTCTACAACTCGGTCATTTTAATTGTAGAGAAGACTTACGTCGATCTTTATTAACACAACCGGTTTCATCCGAGCCATCATCACAATCATCGTAGCCATCACATCTGAGTCTTTTCTCAATACATTCTCCGTTCTTGCAGCGGAATTCCTGGTCACTACATCTGCGTCGATCTATGAAAAAACTTTATGGCGTAAATGTCGATCTTCGATTGTCACCGTGCTGAAAATGTTCTACATATGCGCCTCAGCATAATACGAACTTGCGCGAATTCGCTAGCCGCGCTGAGATTGCGATAGTTTGGCGTTTGCAAATCCTCTTTCAGGCAAAAATAACAAAAATTGAGAAATCACCTGAGCTAAACTTCAATAACATTAGAATATTTTGAAGCGACGGACGAATTTTTAAAGTTAATCATCATTCCAAATGAAGGTTTCTGAAGATTAAAATTTGTAGGCGTCAACTCTTCGAGAAGCGTACGTTATAGCTAATAATTTCTCTTTACCAAGAAAAACGTTTATAATGCTGGACGGAAGTCGTTTGCAGTGTAATCATAAAATACTCAAATATAGCTACATTTCGCTATATAATTGTGGCTATACAATGTGACGTGGCGAGCACCGAAAATTTGGATCATGATATACGTAAATATTTTGGTTTTCACTCTAAAGAAATGAATGATGTTAACTATCCGAAATTTACATAGCATGTACAAACTTCCAGGCAAGCTACGCCACTATATAGTTATGACAGGAAATACAATGCAAGATGGTGGTACACCTTTTTCATACAAATTGAAATAAAATAGAGAATGGGCAAGTTTATCGTATGAGCACATTCGTTCACCTTTGCAGCCTTTTTCGTCTTCCCCGTCCTTGCAGTCGTAACGATCATTACATAGGTACTCGACAGGAATGCAAGATGGATCAGAACGACATTGAAATTGATTCGGACAGTTAGTGTTGTTAACTAAAACACGACGCAAGAGTAAATATAAATGGAAAAAACTTCAAAGGCTCTGCAATGCTACACAAAAACTAATTAAAAATAACTATCAAAAACTATAGTATAACCCATCTTACAGCATTCAGGCAGAGTTTCGTCGGAGTTATCTCCGCAGTCATTCTCCCAATCGCAAGTATTTAACATGGATATGCAACGACCATTGTCACAGGCAAATTCTCCAGCAAAACACTTATCGTTGGCTGTAAACATTTAAAACACCATCGTTATCATATTAAACGACTGCACACATTTCATAATAAATGATTGCTGGGGAGCAAAAACAGTTTCGTCGATTGAAAAACAACTAAAAAGCGTAATGGACGTTCACTTATTAGCTTTGGGCAAATTCAATAAGTTTTTCCAACTGATCGTGTTGGCTAAAGGTATATGTCTTCTGATTTGAAAAAAATGTTTCAAAACTAGGAGATAGACTTCAAATATAGAAGACGTTTAAATCAATGTTGAGCAACGAAAAGTTCCCTACCCCCTAACCCCTTCAAGAACGGTGATATTAAATCATAAGGACATATAAGCTTACGTTTATGAACGCAGGTGCCATTCTTTAATTTGATCATTTTTCCACGACACAGGCACTTTTTGGTGTTCTTATCCAAAAACATGTTATCGCTACAAGCACAGGCATGATCCTTATTCGACGTTGGTAGACAGAGTTGATCGCATTCTGAATTTCCACTACATGTACTTGTGTCTAAAACACGAGGTTTGACATACCATTAAAATAAGAAAAACCTGTTAAATTAACATACACGTTTGTCATCATACTTTCGCAAAGTGCAAACATTTTTTACCATAAGTATGTTCATAGTTTGATGAGTTGGAAAAGAGAGCTCGAAAATGCTTTTCAGGCAAGTGCCCGATATGATATTAAAATATGGAATGGCTTGATTCCACAGGCAAAATTCATCAGCGAAATTATGCCACGCAAAATGATTGCGCGCATGCGTGATAAAGACAAATTGCCCATTCCGCGAGAAAAAATTTAGCTCGAATTAAAGCTCATCCTTTTCACTTCGAAAGCGAATAAAGAAGTAAAATTCATCAGAATCATTGATGTGCAACGATTCACATTTTGCCATATATAATTTCTAGACAAGAGTTTTGCTCGTAGAATGAGGGACATCGATAATTGTGACAAGGGGCATATTCATACATGCATGTTATAATCTGCAGAACACAATGGTTGCATAGAACTTAATTCAGCATATTATAAATATATGAATACGACCCGGCACCAAAATATCGATTTTTCTACCATCCTGTCATGGAAAATTGACACGACAATTGCAATAGTCTTCACTACGGCATATCACGGCATATCATGCGCCCTCAGTGATGTTCGATGCGGTGCGTTTGGGTTAAACTCGAATCTATGCATCATGAAATGAGCCAATATCATTCATGCAAATTTTGAATGGATTGTTGAACATGTATTAAGAAAGATGAAATCAATATCATGCCATACCAACTGCAGTCGCCCATATCTACTTACGCAGTGCCTCTATACGAAGGGCTCACCACCCGTAAGCCGACACTTCTTTTGGGTTCTTGCCAATAAAATATTACCTATTATAACTTCTCTCACGGGGGGACACCAAGTCGTGCTCCTAACGGTATCCAATTACGGGAGGTTCGACGGTATATTTTATGGACGTTAAACTTTCAACGAGTTGTTCGCCCTGCCTAAGCTATAGGTTGTCCATAGAATTACAGATGCCATATTCGCGCGCAGTTTGGCATTTTGACGTATGTATTCATCAACCGACAACAAGCAATTCGAAAACGAATGAAAAGTGGATGTATTCATTCACAAAAAAAAAATAGGTGACAATATTCGTAACGTAGAGTATCGAGTTTTTAATGTAGATGTTTATTTCAGATATAAATGCACGCTCTCACACGTAAATGCACGTCGCAAGTGCATGTTTTGATGTAAAATAGATCTTACGGGTCAATTACCATTAAAGAGTTGAAATGATCAGTGAATGAACGCAATAAATAAATCTTTATGTAAGCGCGATAAAAGAGGCGTAAAAAATAAGGAGCCCAATGTTTTATTATAAAGCCCGGTTCTTAACTTGTCGTTCGAGTCTTCTCAAAAACACAAACCGATGGGACCGAGCTCTATACAAACGACTACATGAGAACCAGCTTTAGTCATAACAAGCGGTTGTACTTTGACACGCAAACATATAAATTCGACAAAAAAAAAACAAACAAACACGAGAAATCACTCACCAACTTGACTTCGTTTATAATAGACTTTGATTTCATATCTGCTCTTGCTGCTGAATCCAGGAACTTTTTGGATAATTTCCTGCGCCTTTTCGGCGAATGATTTATGCTCTTTGTAGACTATTCCGGTGTGCCAGTCATCCCAATAAACATATTTATCATCAACAGCGATCGAATACGGGTGTATGAGTATTTTTTTCCACAAAGCATTTGTTCTTTGGGCAAGGATCTAAATGGAAATTTGTGGAAAGTTGGGAAATCCTATGATTTGATTGACAAATGAGTTCTCGATTATTACAATGCATGCTTTCCTAAATCGTTGGACCTTTCATTATAAAGTATGGGACGCTTCTTGTGCGACAGCAAAAAAAATGACGATAACAATAAAATCAAAGATATCTTACAAGTTGCTTAGAATGTATTTATTCACTTCTGCCTTCGGAATCGGCATATAATCAACCTGCTTGCCATCAAGACAAATTGATAAAACCCTCAGCGGTATGATTTCTTTAATCATATGATGCAAAGGATATTTTCATTCTGCAAATATTCTCACTCGGTTTGAAAGGTATTCCTACTTATAACTGAAATAAAATTTATGCTCAATAACACAAGGCAAGCGAAAGACAATTTGTTATCCCTTTAATATACATATCATGCAGTGGAAAAATCCTTTGTTGAATTCCACTAACATGGCGATCGCGAGGTAATAAACAAACCTTCTATACCGGTAGCTATACGGGGTGTATCAAAATGAATCTAAATAATTTGAAATGAGGTTATAAAACGTGATAGGGGCATACACGCAAAAAATCCAAGTTTTAAAGATCTCGCGTGGGCCAGCGCTCTCCCCAAATTGCTTGAAATTTCTATGGCTTGTAGTGTAGAACGCAGTCCATATTTTGACTCAGGGTGATTGAATTGTTTTGCCGATGAGTATTTTTTGTGCGCACGGCCTGTTTTGAAGGACTTTCGACGACGGTTCTTTCACTTGAAAAAGTCTCGCAATTTCAATAATCTCATTACCAGCTGTACCAGAGAACATGAAAGTACTTAGAAAAACCAAACTTTCTGGTTTATTCTACGAGCGTCTTGTTTTAGAGATTTTTTTAAAATGAGTCTTTTTTTACACACCTTGTAGCTATATCGTTAGAACAAACATCGCCACACCAGTGACGTCGCCAGCTCAATAAATGATGGTGATAACATTCAAATATGCATGTTTTAATCACTAAGAAACAATTGATTTCAAAAAAACATAATACGCAAAACATGCATCCATAAATAAAATACCCTTCACTTAACGAGCTGACGACACCACTGCGCCACAAAGGCATGAAGAAAATACCGTCTGTAGAACTAAGAACATAGGTATACCGCCCAACTGTATAACATTAGAAAATAGTTAACCACCAGTAAGATAATGTACAAAATGAAAACAAAAGCTTGTGAACTAAATCGCGTCTCGCACCCACTGATCTCAAAAAAAGACCGGATCAAGCAACTCTATATTTTTAGTAAACAAATTTTGAAGCCACCGCCGTTGTTACTAAGGGACGAACTCATCAAAAGATTTTTTAAAAAAACTATGGAAAACATAGCAACATATGTCCAAATTATGCTTTAAGATAACGCAGAAGAAGAAAAACAACCTTTGTGGTGATAGTAAAGCGAGAGTCAGAAAGAATAATCGGCCGTATAAAACAAAACGCATACAGGTTTCACACCGAATCACTCGTAAAAAACGCCTGTAATTTTAAAGGATTGATCAGTTTATGATCGTAAATGAAATCATTTAATGAGTTTGTACTTCTACGATTCCAACAATTCTAGGTATTTCCATGCAGTTGTGGGCTATTTTCCATTGTCTTTCCATACCACAGTAGAGTTATCGATGACAAAAATCGCTGCTTTTTTATCATATTTCATCATATTTCATTGTATTTTTAGCTCTTCTATAAACTGATTCATCTCTTAGTTATGTTCATGTAGTTACAAGTTGAAAGTTCTTGATTATTATCGTATAAATCCATAATATATTTGCTCCTTATTTTCGAAAGTTGGTCCCTTAGTAATGGCGGCGCTACTTATTTTTTGTCTTCAACTTTTGTGCTAAATGCTTGATCCAGTCTTATTTCGAGATCAGTTCTCGCACCCTCTAAACAGAGTCATGTGAAGTGCAATTAAAGTATTAAAAATGAAATACATACGTACCTTGTGTTTCTTTTTTATTAAATCATACGAACCAATGATGTCTTTTTTAGCATCAGTGTAATACAGAATTCTTGACTTACTGGGTCGGTAGATATCGATTGCAAGACCGTTAGGCCATTTAAGATTGGGAATATCCAATTTTTCTCTCCCCGAGCCATCCATCGCGGACCTTTCAATTTTAGCAGGAACCCCCCAATCAGACCAAAACATGTCTCTAAAAACAACAGCAGAATGTTACAAATATCTCAGAAAACAAAAATAACAAATAAGCAGCAAATTAGTTCCTTTCAGAGTGTAAATAGCCAAATTCGTAGCTAGAACGCGAAGAGCTACCATCACTCATAAATAAAATTAACATAGTTGTTTTGTTTCACAAAAACGATGAAATGCGTGAAATTGAGTAGATTATTTTTTTGGTGTGTTGTTACAGTTCTCGTCGACATGACCCCTATACTGAGTATTCAAACTATTTCAGAAACGCCAGGATGATATACACGCACAGCGATAAGAAATCAAAGATGCTTACTGTGTTTGGCTACAGGCTTATGCAAACCGAGGAGACCTTCCGGAAAACTCGAGAGCAGATCAGTGGAAGCCCGATACCACAGGTCAAGTGCTGCACTTGCTGGAGAGCTCTTACAAACGTCTCGAAGGTTTTCATAAGGCAGTGCAAACACGAAAAACATCATTTACTTCTTTTGTAAAATAACAATAATGCGAAACAAATTTAAAACTAATTTTTTATTCTTCCTTTAAAATGTATTCTTGATCAATTTGCAAATTCTCTTTGATGGATTAATTTAATCGGTTGAGCCTTTAAAGTACGTTCTACCGATAGTAAGTTCGAAACAAAAATCACAGAACACAAAAATGCCATAAACCCAAACTCACTACTGGCAAAAACTACTTAGAGTTGCCTTCTCAGTTTTCTCGTAGTTATGCGATTAGCATGTACAAGCCCACTGAGCATCACGGCGCGAATTTCTATATATAATCCTTAAATGCATGTCGTATACAAGGTATCAAAAATTACTACGCCAAACTAAACTCAATTCACAAAAAAAATGTGGCTACATGGGTTTTCGGTCTGGATTAAAAGTTTGGGTAAAAGTTTAGCAAGGTACGAAATCGCTACGTTTGGTTGAAATGATGTTCTTGGATCGACTGAAATGACAACGATCATTAATGATGAATGGCACCGATTAACCTACCCCTTTGCAGGATCCAGTGCAAGCGCACGAGGTTTTTTAAGATCCTTGGAATGCACAGTTTTTCTGAAAAGGCCATCTTTTTGACATACTTCGATGACTATCTTTCCCGAATCCACCCAATACAGATTTCCAGTGGTCCAGTCAAAATCAAGACCTTCCACTTGCTTTATGCCAGCAATATCGATCACATTTTTTGCTATACGGGTTAAAAAATAACGAGAAAGTGAATCGACATCACGAAAAATGTTAGCATAGTTTTACATAAAGTATTCCATTGTCAAAAGTTAAATATAATTTTAGTAATGATATATAGATTATTAGACACACGACAAAAATCTTATTCGCCGTTGTCAGTGGTTGTTGACTAGACTAAGGAGGCATATTGTAAAACTATTAATTCTATTCATAAATTTAATACATAATAAAACAAAAACTATATGCCGGAGGCCGGTTACAGGAAGCCTGGATAGCGCTATCAATTGGATAGCAAGTTTTTTTAAACTTTTATAAAACCTTTTAAAAAGTAAAAACTAAAAGACTCGAGCTGAACACTCACTGAAATAAAATATTGCTTCGAAGATTACGACATTTTTTTTTCGTAAGAAAAATATAAACACCTTTTTTAAAATAAGCAAAAGCGGCGAGTCTGCGTTCTAATACGCTCGCGCGCTGGTTATTAAGAGCTTATTAATGTGTAAAAAATACGATGAATATATTGTAGACTTTTTGATGATAAGTCAAAGAAAAAATGTTTCATTTTCAACTCATATGAACAAGAGAGGATGAAAGAACGCATGGCATAAAAGACTTAACTAGATTGTAACTGTCAGTTAAATGCGATGAACGAAACCAACCTTATAAGTTGTGAACATGCACACCCATGAAAAGGCGAGAAATATGTTCAGAGATTTCAGATTTGAAAATTAACAGGAACAATGACGCGAACAATGTCATTTCAGACATAAACAAATTTGCATCTATTGTATAGACAAGAAACCAAGTTTTATTAAAGCAAATTTCCTCGCACATACTTATGCAGATTTGACAAATGCCTTAGGAAACTTTCTATGTTTTGGAATCAAATCATTTCAGGTGAGTGCCCTCTAGCTCGAGGTATATAACCCTATACGTATATAACCTTTGTTACAATGTAACTTTACAATATAAGATTTAGATTTTCATGGGAGAAATGTAAAATACGACTAATCTGATGACATTTGAGAACCTTAATATACAAGTCGACTTACAAGTGCCATTAAATCTTCGCTTTTTAATCTTGTGTTCTTTCATATCTGCCCAGTAAATATATTTTTCCTTCATGTCGTAGGCCACAGCAACGGCACCAGACAAATCTGTGATCAAAGCGGTCTTGGTTTCGTTCACTAAGTCCATATATTGAATGGAAGATTTTTCAGCATAAAGAAGGAATGCTTTGTCCACTGAAATGAAAAGATGTATAGAGGTCGTGCTGACTAGAGTTCGATAGTTCAAAATGGATGAAAGCCTTTTCTTGGCAAGATCTAAATCGTCACTCGTCTTTTTAAGCCGAGCATTTTTTTTCAGGTAAAATTCAGTAGAGCCCCGCGATAACGCAAAACTCTCAAGAGAAAAGAAAAATTGTTGAAGTTAGCGGCAGTTCGAGTTATCGAGGGTGTTCTTAAATTTCGTATGTTGGGTTGACACGAGATATTAGCAGTTTTACTGTTTCATTAAAATTACGTCAAAACATAGATCAGTAGCGAATATGAAAATTGAATGAAAAGGCTATTGAGGCAAATTGTTAATAATGAACTTTTGAAACTATATTGCATGTATTATTTATTAATTTCTTCATGCTTAAATCGAATCTATACACTTTCAACATGTAAAATTTTAACCATGAGGTTCACCCTTTAGCCTTAAGTACGAGCAAAACCGTTGAAACTGCCTACTCAAAAATGTTTCACTAAATTCAGGGTAAATTGATGGAATTGAGTTCGAGTGAGCAAGTAGTTTGAGTAATCGGCGTTCTACTATATTCTCAATAAATATACTATTCTTTCTGATTGAAAAGAACGTTGAGGCCTATGTGCGAACCACTTTTTCATCAAAATTTCGCATATCATGTTCGTTTTGAAATATTTGAACAGAATGCGATGAACTACTCACAATCTTAAAAGTATTCCTAACAAGGAAATCATACAAGAAAAATATAGCTACACCATGCAATAAAACTTTTAAAATAAAGGTAGACTTTTCATTTTTCTATTCATTTGACGAACTCTTCGGTACCATTGTAGCTATAGCATCATTTTCACGATCAAAATCAATTATATGAAGTCCACAAAGACCTTTATCTTTCCCTACGACGACTTACCATTGAATGGACACGTATCCTGGTAGGGTTGATACCAATGCCGCCTGCCGACAACGCATTTGTTACCAGCAATCTTGCGGTATCTGTATGAAACATAAACGAGTTTAGGAAACGTTGTGAAGTTTCGGGAACGGTTGAATTTCGAGTATATGTAAGGAGCAGAACGAGTATGCAAAGGTGATTTTACAACAAAATGGGTGCACGTGACATCTACAACATTGTTTTATGTGTAGTTACTGGATGAGAAAAGAAGCCATACGGAGATTCTGTTAACGGACACAAAAATCTCAAGAAAGTTAGACAGCTCCGTTTATCCTATTTTTATGAAGAATCATCCTTTCCAAAACTTTAAATCATGAATTATACGAGAAAGAAATTTTGATCTCACTTAAAGCAATCTCCGCGTCATTGCCTCGTTCCGGGACCAACAAATAAAGTATATCCGTTCAAAGAAGAAAAACGACTCAGTTCAATCTATATCAGACCATTTTAAAGTACAAGCATGTATCACGTAACATTAGAAAGCATCCACACTGTTCTGTAAATGATTTAGTAATGCTTCCGAGGAAATGAATTAGAACCCAATCCTCAACATATTTAACTACAGTGACAAGGTGAGTCAAGGACGCCATCTTGAAAGGTGGCAAAAAGCAAAACTCAAAAAGAACAATAAGCTTAAGAAAAGTTCAAAAACCCAATCCTATCAAAAAATTTTAAAAATTATACGAGATTATCAACTTTGCAACAGTATATCAACTCAGAAAAAGCAGATGTTAATCGTAAATATCGTCAGTTTGGCCACCTTTTAAGATGGCGGTTTGCCTCACTCGTGACTATAGAATTTTGGTGGAATCAGATATCTAATAAATTGGGTTATAGGTCATTGTTCTGAGAGTATTTGTGTTGAAACAATGATTCTAAAATAATCGTTGAAATAAAAATTAAACATTTTTTGTTATGCACAAGACCAATATTTACACTTTTTTCATCAATTCCGTCAATTTTATGCGAAACTTAAACTTCCCATTGACACATGACACTTAAATCGTACAAAATGCGCAAGCAACAAATTCCTTGACCAACAAACAATAATATTTAGGGAAAATATATACTTCGTAGCTTGAGGCAAGTATCGATTACTTACATTGTCCTAAGGTTCAAGCGCACGCAACAACACTTGTGAAAAAACTCAACTCAACTTCTATAAACAAGTGCTTACCCTCGTGTATGGGTGTATTTTTGGCCAAAAGGACACGGTCTAGGGGCCGCGTACGGATCAAAACTTGATTCAGTGTCCACTACACAGAAAAATCTACCAAACATCGGTTTGAAACCATAGTCACTAGAGAAAGAAAGGCATACGTCAATCAATAAAAAATAGCAAAAGGTGCAAGACACAGCAAGTCATAATTCATTGTTCACCGCGAAAGCAATCCTTATCCAATTTCAATAGCGAATATGTCGGCGACAGCCTAGTTACAATAAGGTTAAGAATTGTAGGATTCGGGTCAGGGAGCAATTTGGTGTATTTGGTTGCAGAAGACGAAATACTGCACCATATCACAAGAGAAATAGTACCCCCGCCACCACAAAAAAATCATGGAATCCTTACAGAAGGGGTCTTTGCTGCGACTCGCCACATTTTTACTTTTGCTTTTCGATCCGATCCAGCAGATTTTCCCGTAATCCGTGGAAAGTCAAAAAGCTTAAAAACCTTTCTCAAAGATAACATCCCATTTGAGAACTAGCAACAATTGAGCATTGGAATTTAGTCCATCCTTTAACTAAAATATATTTTAGCATCCTGTTTGCCATGTAGAATAAAACTGATAAAAAAAAACTTTCCAGCAATTGAAACTATGTGTAATTGTCCCTCGATATCAATTAAGTCAAATTTCTTAACACTAGCTCTCCTCCTATGTAATGACTGCTCCATTCTATTTAACTGATATCTCGTAGAATTAATGTAGGGTGCCCAAGCCGTCCTTAGAAAGATTATCAGGGGGGGATGTAAATCTTTTAACCGACTGGCTAACGAACTTGCAAAGAATACACTATAGGACAAAACTCAACAATTTTCAAGATCTACGAAATGACGCCCTTTAAGTCTGTTAATCAATTAAGAAATACTGCAATAATCTCAAAGTAATCAAACATTAATATTACATCGACTCAGCTCCCTGTATCTTTTTACAACACGTCAACAAGTCAACAACCTTGAATTGAAATGTAGCAAGTTAATATACTAAAGTAATATTAAGATGGTCATGGACAACCTTGCATCTTCTACTTCATGTAAGTGCATGGTGTTATATATCACCGAGCTGTGACAATGTCCGAACAGCATATGTTTTACCAACTAACTGTCTTGCTCTAATGTTACTCTTGATTTATACGAAAATTTTAGTGTTTTAACTCTTAACTTACACTTTATCCAAATCATCTGTAATAATCTGCTTAGTAATAAAAACTTTTTTTTCTGCAGACTATTATAGTACTTCCACCGACTGCATTTCTAATTATTTGGGGGGGGGGAGTGACACCCCCATACACCCTCCCACTTGTGCGACCCTAAAAGTGCCATAAAACATACCATTCGTAATCGTGAAACGAACACTTGCATTTGGTAGTGTTGACAGGTCGATCGTAATTTAAGCCATTGAAACAGACTGATTTTCGCTTTCGTCGCTCGTACTTAAGGGTCTGCCCGAGAACACAGAGACTACGAGTGTAACGATTGTGAGGAGACCAGATCTCGTAGTCGGACTTGGAGCAAGGCCTCCCTGTAACATAAACTTAATTGAAGGAAAGACTGAATAAAATTATTTAAGAAATCATTTTCAATGAAGAGTGGGGTTAGGTCACATAAATAACACAGCAAGCGCAATACGTAATCTTTCCTATCGTCCAGTATAATTTCAGATTTCGATTCTCAAAGCATAAGCAAGAAACGTTAACCACCAGGCATTGAGTTGATTGTTACACATTACTTTTACACGAACTGTTTGTAAACCGTACAAATAGCATCAACGGGCAGATCAAGTGGTTAGAAGATACAGATAAGGGCCGCATCAAAATGGGATCACACTATTTCGCAAAAAAAAAGGTCGCCTGATTTTTTTTGTCATGATACAAATCGCGTGTTGAATAACGACACAAGACGGAATATATGAGCGTAAATAGCAGGGACCAAAGTGGAACTGTGAAACGACAGCGAGAACACTTCATGATTGAAGACAAGTTAAAGGACTTTAGTTAGTTTGGAGAAACTAATCCAGACCAATATAAAAAGTCGAAAAAAGGCGAAAAAACGCGTGCGGAAGCAAGTGGATCAGATGTGCACGCATAAGCAACCATGTCCAAAAGAGGTGATCGACTAAGTTTTCAGGAAAAAAAGCACAGTGGAAACACCCGTATTTCGTATGAACAAGCTGATCAAAATCCATATCACTGTCGGTCTAGCCCGTCTCCGTCAAAATTTGCTTCTGACTCATTCTAAACAAAACTACACACAGCAGAAAGATTTTTTGGCCTACCTAGTACATTTGAAACATTGACTTGAACAACAATCCAATTATGACGTCCTTTGTACGATCCGAAAATTGTAACTACTGTGGTCCTCTCGCCTGTCTCCGTTAACAAACCATAAACTCGAACATGTTGTTTAGTGAAATTGTATCGTTTCCACGTCAAACCCTCATCGACGCTATACCTAAAGAAAATTTAACGTCGTAACATATCAATCAAAAGTGCTGAAAACAGGAATGAAAACAGGATGATTTTTAAGGGATAGTGTGCTCTATTTTGAAATGTACGAAAGCCCCGGGATGTTTTAAAATAAGAACCATGAGGAAAATTTCGGCTAACGTCATAGGTTCATACTTCTCGAACAGGTCATTGCCATATTAAAGAAACGCTTATCATACCATACGTCACATACCTTCAATCTGTTGCATAAATTATACTGCTTCATACAAAATTAATGTAATTTATTATTTCAATTTTTTAACATCTGATTCGAAAGGCTATTGCGAAACGAGTTAGTTACAGCTTGGTAGTGTATTTTCCTATAAACATTTTATAAAAGATGAGATCAGAACAGAGTTGAAAGCGGAGGTTGAAAGCCATTCCTATGAGCTCGAATAAGGCAGTAAAATCTGTGCTACCACTTGAATGTATGTGACGTAAATGGGGGAAAGCTTTTCTTTAGTAATGTAAGGACTCATACGAGAAATATGGTTTCCCACTGTTTGACGACAAAATCTACAATAATCTTGTACCCTCGTTTCAAGGGTGATGAGTGGTTGCACGAGACTTGGACAAAAAAACCGAAGAACGATGTCACACAAGTCACGTAACATTTATTACATCATGCTATATACATACAAAATCTCTTTTGTAGGTGACCACTGACGTACAGCAACGACAACTCCACCATGATCGACAAAATTGTAGTACCATCTACCTTGAAGAACCTGCAATAAGGCAACATCCGTTTTAGTAAATGGAATGAGAAGTCAATAGTAAACTTCTACAAAATCGATCCGCGAAGAAGCCAATCAAAGTAAATTATTGCTCATCGGAATCACGATAAATGTAGAGTGGAGCCCCTTATTACGGTAACTGAAGGCCACAATAACATGACCGTGTGAGATCAGATTTCAAGCATGACGTCATTAGAGCCATGTAACAAAGATTGTGTAAAAACAACAACGACGGCATACATATAATAGTAACACTTAAATACAAGACACTAAGGGCGGGGGTTGTGTATTATTAAAATCTTTACCATTTAATCCTGCGTTGTTATGTTAAATAACCAGGTAAATGTCTATTTCATGATTGTCACGATAACTTATACAGATAAGCTCATCTTCCAATCTAAATCTCAAGACAGGATTTGGACTACTGCCACGATTTCTCGTGACAAGGTTAGGCCACATTGGTTATAGTATGCAGTACGACCGCATTTAAAAAAAATGCGAAGTTTTGCGAACGTGGATTTTGTTTTGATTCTCAAATAGGAACGGATTTAGGGAAAGCGCAGAGAGGTGCGTACATCTCCTACCTGTGGCTAGCAGAGGGCAGTGCAAATTTCCCTACAAAATATCAACATGCCAAAAATCAAGCGAAAGCATTCGTGTTTAACAGAGTGCACTTTAAAAAATCTCCCAATTATAATAAAAAAATGACATACTTTAACAAAAAAGTCCAACATGCTACGGCAAAAGTATTCGCCGAAATCTAACCCATCTCAGTTCTCAAAACACAAAAGCAGCAACAGCACTTTCATTCGGCTTTCGTTCGCATGTTTATTGTCAGCAAAAAATATCAACAAAATTTGCTCACCTCAAGCCAAGACTTGCCAGCGTCATTCGACAAATAAACATTTGCGTTAATGGTAAAACGCTTTCCAGTGTTGCCTAATCAAAAAAAGAAAAAATGTTAAAGTGCAAATTAAACCAAAACGAGAATAGTTAATATAAATTGATGTGCAATATAAGTTGGAAGACCCAACGTCACATGTCAGATGTCACGTGAGCAAACAGAAATTATAAAAAGGTGGTACGAAATATGCAAAAAATATATCTCTTTATCAGCTTCATTGGTTAAGATCGAAAACATTAAGCTACAAAGAAATTAGAGAAAAAACTTTTCCAAATTCCAGGAACAGTGTTGATCATGCCCATTTTGGTCAGTGCGCTAACGTAATTGGCCACCTTAACTTCTCTCGTCAAATTGCACATTGCCTACCCCACGGCAACAAATTTCCGCCCAAAACAGACAGAGCAACAAGCAGTAGAAAAAACACTTACCAGAGGACACAATAAGACCTGGAGCGGATTTTCTCGATTTGATTGGAGGAGCCCAATATCCCGGATGTTCCTTAGCAAAATGAGTGGCCAGATGAAGTGAGCAACCGTCCTAAAAAGTTGGAAAATGATATGCAATAAAAAAATTGTTCAATATACACTCAACAAATACTACGTCTAACGATAATGGGGGGTATTATGCTTTCTAGAGAAATCAAAAATACAACATACGCAAGCAGGTTATCCAAAAAGTATTTAAATCGCACGCATCGATGGGACGAAAAGTTTCCTCGAATAAATGCTTTAGCGAAAAGCTCCGCGAAAAGCATTATTTACACTCACAAAATAGTAAAGCAAAAATTTAAGCCATAATCTCACTTTTCTAAAGCAGTTCATCATTGAACCGTTACTGTGTTTCGCTGGAGCCTTGACATCATGCCAGAAGCCGCCTTTGTTATAGGATATCTTCGTGTGGATAGGCCTTGTTCCAATTTTCCCGTATTCCAGTTGACTTGCAATATAAACTCCACGCATCGAAGCTACTTTATACAGGTCGACAAAACTCTCCTTCATGTAAAGCCTGGATGAAAAAAAAAACAACGACACACCATAGTAGCTTGATAATATCTCTTCGTTTACATTTTTTTTATTTAGTTTCACTAATTTTCACAACTTTTACATCTATAAAATTAAACTTTGAGATATTTCTCGACTGTAAATCGATAAGTGTAGTAATTGCACTTCTAAACTTGGTACCTGAAACCGAGTGATGGATCTAGAATACGTCAAAATAAATTACTGCAGCACATTTTGCCATATATTTACATTTCTAAACACATTGGCAGCAAATCCATTTGTAAAATTATATTCTTTAGAAATTAAAAACCAATCGTGTTTTTCTGATTGTAAATTGAATTTAAAAATGAAGAGCTATAATTTATTTTAATGTACACTGGATCCGCCACTAACTGTTCCATAAAGAGTGTAATTGTCCTGTGGGTATTGTGACCTGATAGGCTGAAACGCCGTGAAAGCCAAATTTTTCAATTAAAAAACAACATGAGGGCAAACAAAGATTTCGGTCCATTGCAATTGTATGAAATTTAAGAATAAGCTACAAAACAATGCAAAAGAGAAAAAACTGTAAGGCCTGCGGCAGTAAAAGGTAGAACAGCTTCCTACTTCGGGAGCCTAAATTTATGGGGAGCCTATAATTTTTTACAAAACCATTTTCATGCTTTTTCTACGAAGCCCACAAGACCTTTTTTAAAAAGTCGTATCATTCAAAGATTCATACCGGAAGGTGGATTTCGGAGCAAGATAAAAATAACTGGCAAAAAGTATTAAAATACAAAAACAAATAAAAAGCTAGATAAAAGTTAAAACGAACAACAACACACATCATACCTGTGCCAAGTATTTGTATAATAATAAGGAAGATACAGGAGGATTCGTTCCAATGATAACGTGTAAACTTTGCCTTTCACGTCAGATATATAAAGATGTGAAGTGTTTTTGTTATGATTCACAGCAACAAACACCTGACCCTCGCTTGCATCAGCGATCATATAATCCTATACGTAAAAGATACTCTAGAGTCAGGTGCAATTACACATAGCTATATAACCGATCAACTAAATTGAATTCATTGAATTTTTTAAGTTTTTGATTTTTGCAAAAACTGATAACCGAAGAAAAATAAGGGAAGCACGAATACAAGCATCAATTTGTTTTTCATAAAAAAGTAAATAAAAAAAGAGAGCACGAGAGCATCTACAAACAAATGGAAAAATGGCGAAGCCAGCTTCCAAGTTTAAGTCCTACTATGTAAATTTCACATCATGAAAAAGCCTTGGATTATGTAAACATTTTAACCTAAAAAAATCGACGAGACAAACTTTGTAATAAACGTTTTTATGAACAATATTATGAATCCTAAACTCCACGAATTCTTGCCAAAAAGAATTATTCGTAATTACGACCTAAGAAGCCGTGGATCTTACCAACATTTTTGTTGCATGACCGAACGTTTTAAAAATTCCTTTTTACCACAAAGTATTATAAGAAATAACAGTAACTAGATATTAGTTTTTAATTGTTCATTGGTTGTAAATATATATATAATAATTAATTATTTAAAATTTACTTGTAAGAACTTTTATAATTTCACCATTTCGGTTACAAAAAAACTTCATGATTAATAATTTCAAATTCAATTATCATAATTCATTTCTTTAGAAATCTGTGACTTATTTTCACAGCACGAGCAGTCAAATAAAAAATATATAGCAAGATAAAATTAACGGGATGGCTTCGCAAATAAAATAGGCAAATGCACTTAGTTTATAGTTTGCGCGAGTTGTTCTCATCTTAAACACTTATCGGAAGTAACCGAATGATAAAAATTAAACAAGGGTAACACGGAATTCTGTTTGACGAGCAACGACGATCCGTGCGAGATATCTTGGTAATAAAATAACTGACAACAAACATAAAATTCAACAAACTGAATTCATGTAGCTAACGTACCTCTCTCCTCATATCATTTGGAAATTCGGCTTTGCTTATGTCTTTATAATGATATCCAACATAAAGATCGAGACCATTTGCGCTCTGAAGTAAAAAAAAATGTTGATACAGAAAACATACGTGATTGATTGAAGCTGTTAGTAGGCAGTTTCGTGACGTCATAAAAATGGCGTTGCATGTACTTTTTATTTCCGGTTTACTCTACAACGGCTGTCGTGTTAACGACTACGACGTAAAAACATACAATTTAACGTCTTATCGACGACGGTTAAAAGAAACTCATGCAACTTTAGGACAAAAATAAAGAATTATTCAGAATATTAGCATCTTAAAAGATCATTCACGAATACATATGTTTATTCCAGTAAAAACTGCGAATGTTTTGTTTCCTAAAGCGCAAAGAAAAACAAATAAACAACGCTGGTCTGCTCTAATTTCGGGGATTTCCCCCAAGTGAAAATAATTTTAGTCCCAAAACAGAATGTCGATGATTGTTTATCGAAATAAATATACTGTAGGACATTTTTAACATCAAAGTGATAGAAAATGATAGAAAAAACGGGCCAGCAAGAAAATGCCGAAACGGATGAAACTTGTTTTATACTATTCTTGGACGAAGTCCTACAAAAGGTCTGCTAAATCACAATTACTTTACGACGTGATGGCGTCCTAGACCCAGATCCCTAGCAAAATTTGACGACGTCTTCGACGAAACGTCGTGTTGGCTAAATTAGTCTATTTTGCGAAGTACGCCACGCACTATACTGATGCGGCTGGTAGCAAGAAAATATATATAATATTTTTTTTATAATCCCATCGATACGCTTTTCAACGTCAGTAAGACATGGTGAAAAAACTAGAGGCAAAAACAACGTTGGCTAAAAAAATTATTTATATTTTTTAAAACAGAGAACAAGTACATTACAAAAAAGAAAGAAACGAAAATAAACGTTTACCTTTCGGGTAAAAAACATGTAAACATCGTTTATTTCAAAGTCCGACACGTTGTTTGCAACAATTGAATGAGTAAAAATACTTTTATGGTCCCAACGATCACGGACGATCTTCGACGTGTTGTCCCCTGCAACCAAAACCATAAAAAGTGAACAGTGCGTACGATAAACATGTACGTGTAGCTATATTCATGGAGATATCAACTTTCCTCGCCAATTTTAATACAATTCTCGGCGAAATGAAGAAGATAATGTAAAAAAGATAAGAACAGTGTAGAGGCGAACAGAAAATAAAGACAAATAACAAAAATAACAAATGGTCAAGTGGTTTTCAGGGAAACGAAACACAGAATTACCGAAAGGTAAAGAAAGGACTAGGCAAATTTAAAAAAAAAAGAAAAGAAAGGAAATTGAAAGGAAAAACACGAAAATGTGAACAGATCGAATACAATAATAAAAAAGAAATGCATAAAAAAGCGACGTATACGATAGCTACATAAAATTATACTGAAACAGCTCAAACTGCGTAATTAAAATGTCATTAATTTTAAGTCCTGTCAAAATGCACATAAGCATCAAACAAGACCTCATTAACGATTCCTCTCAAGACTCGTCATCAATTACGCACTCTTACCATTATCCAATTCCATGTAAATAACATCATCAGAATCAACATCTTTGAATCCCCTACAGATCAGAATACAAACATGAAGGCACAGCGAATGCTCTGAAACGGCAAATCCTACGCCCATGCGCGTTGAGCGCATAGATTCCGGTATATATATAGTTATGCACCTTAATGGATATTTTCGAAATCAAATTTTGGTATGCAAATATGTTAACAGCAAAATTGATTGATTACTTATCCAGGATTTCTGCAAACCTTAAATTCTTAAAACGAAATATTGTGGGCGAGCGGGAAATAAACTCTTTCCGTACCGCCTAACTAGATTTTACCCCCAAAGTTCAATGAACAACAAATAATTACCAGAAATATGATACGACTTTCTTCTCCCTTATAGTCCAGGTTTTTCCAAAATTTTTCGAATAATACAACTGAAACGATAGCAAAAATAGAATGTTAAAAGTGCACAAATAGCTACGTATCTACAAAATGTCAATCGCGTACGGTTGCAAACACTGAAAAAAAACAACTAATTAACTGTGCTAAGCTGACCCACTGATCTGAATACGTAAATGGTTGTCCATCGTACATGTGAACATGTGCAGAGCCCTGAGTTGCAAAAAAGTTCAACCTTTCTCCGTGAAATAATTCATGTTATGAATACCTTCTTTAAAAATACTTTACATAACTCGCATTAGCTATGTGAATCGTGCAGTTTGAGTACAAACATAATGAAAGTATTCAACTTTGAAATTTCCTCAAAAATCTCATTCAAGGGAAACCTTTATCGCGTTTGATACCCGAGTACGGTTGCAAATCTTTTTGTTTTGGCAGTGCTTCAAAAAACTGAGAGTGCTATTGGCACTAATCTATGGACTGGACAAAGCTCAGAGCTCAGAGCTCAGTTTAGTCTTCAGTTCAATGTATGATATTCTGTGTGGGTAATACTACAACTTACCGTTTTCGTACTTTGATCATACGCGACAACACCATTGGTTTTCGAGTCATGAAAAGTTATTTCTGATGGTGTGAAAGAGATCATCGACGGCGTGATCGTTTTGCAGTCATCTTTCGAAATGAACAGCACTTTGTTAATAGTGTCGGTGAAGATGTACTGTGTTAAAAGAAAACAAAAAGGGGGAAGCTCACGTAATGCATCCAAGTTTCCGTTCGAAATAGACAACAATGCATTAAATTAACGCGTCAAACTTCATTGCTTTACTGGATGAGTACGAAAATATATGTAATATCTATCTTATATCATAAAATAAACATTGTAAAACGCGTGCGGTGATTGGTCAATAGCCTGTGCAAACCGATCTGAGCTCAACCAATCAAATCAATCAAGAGAATTTGCAAATCAATCATGAATACATTTTAGAGGAAATTAAAACGTTCGTTTGAAATTTGTCCTTTTCGCATAAAAGGAATAAAAGATGTTTTTCGTGTTTGCACTGGCTTAGGGAACCTCAGATACGTTTGTGACAACTCTCGAGCATGTGCAACCCTTGACCTTCGGTCGCAGGCTTACACTGATTACGTAGCTCTCGAGTTCTCCCAAAAGTCTCCTACGTTTGCATAAGCCAGTGCAAACACAGAAAGACATTTTTTATTTCTTTAATAGCAATTCAATGGCAAACAAATAGCCTCCAAAGTTTGTGTTGCCAGATTGTGAACATCGTTCATACTAGATTTGTGAATTCGTGTGTGCAAATTGAAAACTTGCGAACTAAACTTCTAGTGAACTTTTTACAATTCCATAAATTTTGCGTTTCTATAACAATAATGTTCAATGACTGGAAAATTGTCATATCTTTGCAATTTTCTTCAATTGTGGATAATTTCCGGGTTATTTTGAAGCCTTTCGGCAACTACCGATCTTAAGAACTACCACGTACAGACATGGACTTTGTAATAAAAAAAATATGCAAATTTTAACACAATTCCGTTTTCCAAATCGTGTCAAGTTTTGTAAACACTGAACGCGTAAATTTTTTTCACCAAAGATCTCCCATTACCTCCTCAGACCTCACAATTTTAAACAACATCCACAAACTCACACATGTTGGCTTTACAGAAAACAACTTACCCAGGTCGGCTTTGCAGGACTGCTGTAAAACGTGTTGACGAGGCCCTGCTTTTTCACGCCATTCTTTGTGTATTTAAACAAATGAGACATATTCTGGTAGCTTACACCATAGTTGTTGGAAACGTAAAGGTAGCTGGTACTTTTTGCTTTTTGATCACCGTCTCGTGTGACAACTACAACAGTGTCACTATGTTGAATACCGCTCCATTGCACGATCAGCAGGTTATGAGAATCATGGAATTCATGCTACAAAGAGAAAAAAATACTAAACTTGGCATTACCATTACATAATGTAATGCGCAGTTTCAATACATACTTTTGCTAAATACTGATGTGACGACACACAATATTTTTCAACTCAGATAAACATCTAATGTCATTAAAATGCAATATAGTTTGGACACGGGTGAAACTTGTGAATCGTACATTGTAAAATTACATTGGTAGCTCAGATATAAACTGTTTTTTGTAAAGGGCAATTACAAAATCTTCTCAAACAGGCTGTTTTTCCTGGCACTTCCCAAAACCACAAGAGACATAAGGTACCATTGTTCTGTGATTAGGAATGACTCCAAGCTACTTATGCCAAAAAACTGCTATCAATTACAAAACTAACTTACAATGCAACTATGCAAATGGTTACAATGAATATTCTTTACAAGTTGTTTAGTTGATGTCATCCCTACCCTAAACTATAACCACCACAAAATAATTCAACTACCTGAATCCAAAACTAATTATTGTGCCTTCCTCCTGTCTTACTTTATTATTTTCACCATATTCCACAATCCGTCTCATTCACTGTCACAAACATATTCTCTCTCTAAGTCATGATTTGTGATGGTCAAAGAAATTTATGTTTTGTACTGTAAACTTTCAATTCTGGTCACATCTTGAAATAAAATATCTTGTTGCATAACTAATCTTGATTTATTGCAAAACTTGTTTTGAAATAAAAATAAAATCAATACATATTCTCAACACTATATGTTTCATGCATGTGAGCTTGAAAACAATGCAACAGCCACTCTCAATATGGTCTGAATTTTCTAAGATGTTGAATATCACTTCAAAAAGTACATTTGCAATTGAGAAGTTGATAGAAATTACTGGATGGATGGTGAACAACATCCAACAATACACATGAATAGACATACGAGAATGTGGATGGTGACAATGTGTTCTTATGTCATCTTACATTACGACAAATGTACGTGCTCAAGAATGCAAATTATTGCAAAATATGTTGGCAAGAAACCGTCTGGACTTTTTATATTGTACGATGCTCTATAGACATATGCAAGCACTTGGTAGCAACAAAGAAATTTCTGAATATTTATTAAAACATCGTGGCATGGTTTGGCCTAGTTTATACCATGAATAACTTTATAAACATAAAATTTCACGACGCTTTTGACTTTGGTAATAAAATACCACAATAACATTTGAACTTTTTCATTGCCCAATTATAAATAATGGTCACAGCCAAATTACATATCCATCGATCTAGCGGCTTACGTATCGCACGATAAATCGATAGGGCAATAGCGAAAGTACTAAAATGATTTTCAAGAGATGCGGAATTTCAAAGAAGTTCTCATCAAAATTGAATTGCGATAATATACGTAATAAAAATTTGTGCGATTGATGTAGTTGATTACATCATTTTTGAAGTCTATTCAGTTCGCAAACGTTTTCGAAAACTCGTTCGACAAAACATTAACTAAAAACGCAGGTACTTTGCTTTGCTGTGTTGGATACGATCACAAAACTAGAACTTAAATTTAGAGTATCAAATTTCCGTATTCTTGTTTACTCTATAACATTTATGTTCATAGAAGTTTGGGTGAACGTTTGGGTAGAATAAAGACGAAAACATAAACGAAGATTGAATCAAACATACCACAGTATGGGTAGGATTCGTACTACTGCTCAGGGATCGCCTTGAACGATGTAACGAGCTTTCTTTACGTAATTCTTTTCCTGTTTCGTTGTCGTTTGACGAGAGATAAATTTCACGAGACGGTAATGAGCTGCCACGAAGCGGTTTGTCTCTTTGCACGAACAAATGCTTTGCTCTGCAATTACTCGTCGCTCTTTCACTTAATGTTACGCGAAAAAAAACGAGAAAAATGAAAATAGCACAGACTTTATTCATTGTTAACACTTTACAAACTCCAAAGTTGCATTGAAATTCATGCGCAGGTCATAGCCATAACTCATTATGAAGTCCGCAGTCCGCGACTCGCTGGAGGATTGAAGGGGGGGGTTAATTATCATATGTACAGTGACGTACTTCCTGGTCGGCATGCCAGTTGGACGAATTTATTGGATCAAGTTTTGCTGCAATTTTAATAACAATAGTAGACCAAGAGTTATACTTTGTCAGTGGCGAAGCCAGCCCGATCTTTTACTCCTACAATGAATTTTTTTTCAGTGAAAACTGATATTCATTTCTTAGTAAAATTAATTCCAATCATTGTGTTTGCCATGAGAGTTGAGTCAACAGGTCTGGGGTGAGTGCAGAGCCGCTTTTTCGTCCCATTTGCAAGTGAACTAACAATGAAACTGTTGAAAATTGGTTGAACGGGCAAACTAATGAAACAATTCCGCCTTGTTAAATGGAGTATTTTTATATATCGGGAACACAATCAAGCTTTTGGCGTGCTTTTTTTTAATAACTACTGCGAACCAAATTCTTTTTTACGGACTTGACTTTAAAATAGCATAATTTGTCAACCATCTCCAAAAGAATTGAAAAGAATTCAAAATTTGTGATCCTACTATTTTCTTGTAAAACTATGATAAATCAAACTGCTAAGTGATAAAATTGTAGCGAGAGACTTGCCGAGCGGAAATCGAATACGTGTGATAAAAATTAATGCCCAACATAAAGTTCTGATTAGAGCCATAGAAATAGACCAAAAAAAAAAACAAATTGTAAAATTTAAATTTATTGTGACGTTTCGTCTTTACTCAAGACATCTTCAGACAAATAATAAATAGGACGTTAAGACAAGGTATTATATTTACAAAAAGGTGTTAAATTACTACTAAAGGAAGCGGTGTCGAATGGATACATGATAAGGAAGTTTGGAAGTGAAATGAAGAGAAATTAAAAGAGGTTAAGTGGAATGGAGTTTCCTTGCACATTAAGTGAAGGCTTGTGTTTATTGATTAGGAGGCTTTCATGGATGGAGAGTTCATAAGTATCGTTGGAAGAGGAGATTATTTTAAAGTCGTCTAAGTTGGGGGTGTGTCCAGTTGCGTTAATGTGAGCAAGAATGCTTGATGATGCAGGGTGGGAAACTTGGTTGCCTGTAAGGGGGGATATTCCCAAGTGCTCCGAAAATCTGGTGTGTAGATGACGTGTGGTTTGACCCACATACGGTGGTTTAGGGGCAAAGGTGTTGTTAAGGAAGCGACGTGTGGTTTAGGGGCAAAGGTGTTGTTAAGGAAGCGACGTGTGATTTGGTCAATTATACGTGAAGGAAAACCGTTTTTGGTGAGTGACTTTCTGGTAAATTCGAGTTGTGTATGAAAATTAATAATTCGAGTAATTCGAGTTATTAATTTAATCTGGTAATTCGAGTTGTGTATGCTAAGTGATAAATATACAACGAAAATTCATGTAAGAGCTAATGGGTTTCCATGTTTTGCATCGTCGCTATGTTCAAAAATCTCCAGCACCGACTTCTTTGCAAAATATACTCGATTATTCTCACTTCGCTGGATGGCGTTTTGACTATTTATCGCTAAATTTGGAACAAAAGAGATTTTAATTTTATCAAGTATGATGAACCTTGTTTTTAAAGTTTTGCACTTCCATTTCACGTTTTCTCTTTGTAAACATAACGGATGCCAAGCCACACTTTTTGTTAGTAGTGTTTGTATCCAACTATAGAATCCTCTGCACAAACAAACCTTACTGTGAGTTTTGTTTTTGAGTGAAAAAGTGTGTCTCACCACGTGCACTGCATGCTTTCATTCTTTTCGTTTTCATATTCTTCTCAATTTTCATAAGTGGTTGTCACTGGATATACAAAACAGGTTTGCTTAATTGCTTTGCACTTCTCAAAAGCAGCAGAGATCGGCGTGTCATCAACTCCCTCGCGTACGTGCACCGATACTTCAATTTGTTAAAAATGAATATATTGTTGACGCCCTTGTATACATGATTATGAATTCAAAATAGTTATTTTTTAGAAAATTGATCAGAAATATAACTATAACTTCACATATAGGAATGTATTACAAATAAACATCGTTAAAAAGACTTATCTAGAGTAGAAATTTTATAGACGAGATCTCACTGATTCGATGGCAGCTAAAAAGTTGCGCTGCTTCATTGCCACAAAGGATAGGTATGAGTGTGCAATCTCTATTTTACCGTTGTCTTACGCATTTAAAAATAGAAACTTTTACAGGTACATATCTAACCTTTATTTTTTTTAATGTCTCCAATAAACTTCCTTTTTGTTTCACAGTTGTCATTTTAATGTTAGCTATATCATTACCTTGCAGGTAATTGCATGGCAGTCATTCTTCCCAGTTTTTCTGCTTTCAAGCATTCCATGTTAGCAATCGATTTAATTTTAGAGCTAACAAGATGTGCAATTTGTGCAACATTCCAATTTCTGGCGGATGGGGATATTTGGTGTGTAGGTTCTTACTTCAAATTTAAAACGTTTCACCTCTGTGCATAACTGAGTTACCATCAGCTGTTGGACAAAATGAAAGTGTTTTCCTGTCATTATTCCTAAAATTGTGCTCTGCAGCTTTGTTGATTAAGAAGAATTTGTTGCAGTATTTTGACTACAATAATATCGATGGCTCGTCGATTTTGGAACTTATGTAAATATATAATAGATAAATGTAATTCGATACTATGAACTTATGGAAGAACGGAAATAGGAACTTATGACAAACATTTAGTAGTTGTCACACGTAAAAAGTCAGGCTTCTTCCGTCACTGGCTGTGAATGTAAAAGCTTGAAATGTTTATTTGTGATGTATAATATTTATATTGGAATAGTTATAAGTAAAATTGAAAATTGTGTGTCGACTGCGCATACAAATTGGATAGCATACAGTCCCAAAAACGAATCGACAGACGCATAACTGATTTGTGCTAACGCGCAAAGGAGAAAATTGCTACAGTCAAAACAATAAAACAGTAAGAAGCATTGTTAATAAGCATGGCGATGAAAGTATTCTTAGATTTTGCAGCGCTGCTGCCACGCTGCACTGTAAATAGCAACAGACTTATACATTTCAAGGGCCGTTTGCACGTTTGGATAGCGTTATCCATTGGATAGCAATTTTTTGAAAAGTTTTAAAAACCTCTTGAAAACGAAAAATACAACATTTGAACTGAGCAATCACTGAAATAAAACATTGCAAGATTACAAATTGAAAAGATTGAAAATTTCACTATCCAATGGATTACGCTATCGAAATAAGGTTTGTGCAACCGACTCCTGTAATGCTTTTTTGAATTTTATTTGAATTAAGCTTTTCAAACAATGGTTAACAGTTGTCAACGGTTAACGATATATACTTTACATGTTTCTGAAATTGCATAAATTTATTATCTAATTATTAACCAAACTATAAGTATGTTTAATTGTTTATTAGCTAAAAGCTAGAGCAAGTTTTCTCATATATGGACTGAACAATCAACTAATTTATGTTCATATAATTTATGATGAAAAATTGGAAAATTTCCACTTCGTCCGGAATAAATTGGTACGAGCCGTGCAACAACTCTTTTACCTTGGTACTTGTGTAGGGATAACCAGATGGGGTCTTGTATGAATGATAAAAAGTTTGTGTAAGAACTGGAACTGAGCCCAGCATTGTTGGCAATTCTGAGATCATGAGCACTTCCAAATATGAGCACATTGCAAATGGGCAAATGAAATAACATGCACCAAATATCTGCAATAGCAATACAAGCAGTGGCATGGCAATAAAATCTTTTAGATGTGGCATATTTTCTGCATATAGCTTTGAAGCTGTGGATGCGTAAGAGAAATCCTACTGGCTTACTCGTATATTTCAATTAAAGCAAGATATGTTGAAGCTAGCTCTTGCATGCATTTGAAACAAGTCTAAACACTTTCAGCCACTCTGAAATCTGCTTGCAGTCCAACCATTTATGGTTGCTATGTAACAGTTCACGAATTTCTTGCTTTGCAAGTTCAAAGGCAGACATCTTTCATGAAGCTTTTTTATCCAATTCTTTTTAGCCTTGAGAATGTTTGAGTCAAGCAGAGTTCCTAAGAGTAAAATCAAACAACAATATATGCATGAATTTTTTAAAAATGTTCTCTCAAAATTTCTCATCGATATTTTCAGAATATAAATACATGATTATTGCTCCTCCCTCCCCTAATTATCGAGCTTGCTACTCCTCTGCATTGCTGCCATTCATCATGTGAGTATTATAAGTTAACGCATGCTTTCAGGGATATTAATGATTAAATATCCCGCAAAGCAAGAGAGGTTTAGTAAAAGACCCAGGGCGCATCCCAAGTGGCGAACCTGTGTATAAATTTGCTTTGCAAATGATTCTGGTTGTTCAATTTATGTTTGATCAACGGTGATTTTCATACATGATTTCTTTTACCACTTAAAGTGCCTATGACATGTTTTCAAAAACGCAATATTATAATAGTTTAGATGATTTTAAGAACATTTGCAATATATTTTATAATTGAAAAATTTCATCTTCGTGAAGTTTGGATGGCTCTAAGTTGGTTATTTATTGCTTGTCCGTGATGTCAAAAGACCTAGGGCGAGAACTTGGAAAAACGCCGGATCTGACGTCACATCGGGAACACGCTTTTCCCGAACAAAGAAAACACATTATAGTATATAATACTACGGATTCGAAATTTATTACAACTTGAGTCGAACAAAAAGTGTTTTAAATTGTGCGCATCAGGAATATTAAAAATGGCCTCGAGCTCTTCTGATTCCATTGAAACACAAAATGAATCAGATAATGATTCAATGTTAAACTACATGATGGAATCTGAAGAAAGTTTGATTACCACGGATAATCAAAGTGACTCTCTTGATGTCTCTGAACAGTCTATTGAATCACAAATGCTGCCTTATCAAGATGAACCTGTTGCTGATGAAGAATGGGTTCAAAATTATCATGACGGATTACGTGAACGTCAAAATTTGTTGGAAACTCTGCGTAGTAGATTCAACAATCGTGTGACTTTGGAGCAGTGGTGAGTGTATTTATTCCTTTTTAAAATATTTACAAGTTACGGGCCATAATTCACTTCACACAAAGTCAGCGATTATTGTGCTGCGTTTTTTGTTAGCATTGTCAATTTAAACTAGTAGTTATATTGCAACATGAACAAATGCTACTTGGTATTTGTAGGTGCATTTGTGGTAATTGCAGAACTAATCTGCTTCAAAATGAGAAAGAAAGTCAATGTTGCCAAGAGCTCGACGAATGCATAGAGTCCTTAAAGAATGAAATGGTGCTGGATGAATTGAAAATTGTCCCAAAATGCATTACACTTCATCCAGCATTCAATTCAGTGTGTCTGGATATTTGGTCATTAAGAATGTCAGGCCCAAAATTCAGAAAAATAGATGGAAGAAAATATGTGAAGCATGATGATGAGAACAGGTACATACCTGTATGCTTTCATTTAGTTCAATTAAATTGTTTCATGTAATAACTTATGACAAAGATTTATTTTGCAAATTTAGATATTTGAGAAGTGTTGCATATCGAGAATTTACCCAGCTGGTGCATGGCTACTTAGGGAATAAGCGGATACAACTACCTGCTTGTGCCTATCATGCAATAAGGACTCGATTTGTGGGAAAAGATTTTCAGGTTATGATGATGAAGAATTTGAGGATAAATAATTTACTACTTATATGCCAATGATTCACCCTCATTTTTGATTCTTGTTTTATGGACAGTCCAGGACCTGTTGGTGACCTTTCATTGGTTTCCCACAAGTTTGACAGTGTGGGACGAGTTCTTGTTATATTAATGGTATTTTCTGACATTGTTAATGGGACTAAAATATTATAATTTTGAGATTGTAATATTAGACATCATAACTGTAAGTAATTAATAAAGTATGTTTTAGTCATACCGTTGGTGGGTGGTACATTTTCAACTACCATTTTTTGACGATTGATCTTTTTTTTAATTGCCTCTGCTTTTGATTGTCTAACAAACATGGTATGCATTGGTGCAGGAGACATATTTGACAGTTCTTCAGATGCCTTTTGAAATTGTTCTTTGGTAGCACTCATCATTGTTTTATAAAGTTCATTAATATAATCTAGACAAAGATGCACAATTTTTGGAACAGAAATTGCATTTTTAACACCTCTAAAACTCTACTACAACTGTATTTATTTACTTGAGTAGTATTTGAAATCATATCTCACCAAAATTTTGATGAACTCTGACACTTCTCACAGTAGCTTCACCATTTTTAAATTTTGGATATAGCACTTTAAGTTGTTTCTTGCCTTTCATCACCAGCTCATCCCTCCTCAAGTTATCATTGAAATGCAAAACAGCCAAAATGTGTCTAGACAGGAAAAACTCAAAGAATAAAGTTATGTATTTACCATTTATGTACTCTTAATTTATTTGCATACCTGCAATACATTCCTGCAAATGAGTATGAAATCATTTTTGGAGAGAAATGGTTTAACACTGAGTGAAAACCTTCCAAGCAGCTGGTCTGTAAAAGTGGTGATGCTTGAGAAATACCTTTTTAGCGTGCTATTCAATAGAGCAGCTTGTGTTTTCTCATACACAACTGATTCTAGAAAATTTATACAAAAACATTTTGCATTAAGATGTCAAAAGCATTTTAAGCAGTGATCATGTTCATTGTTTTAAGGTCATACCTTTATCAAGCCACATCCTTTCCTCAATGTCATCACTATGAGCACATGCATTAAAATTGGATTGGAGAAATTGGAATGAACATTGGCCATATGTTCCAAGAATGATGAAAACTTAGCCCATATGACCTGTCCATTACCATCTTCCGTTGACATTGCACTCCAATACAAATGATTCATGGCTTCACCCAAAGGAAGGGCTCCTGACAACCTTTTCTGTCCCAATTTTTTAAGAATTTTATTGACTTCTGATTTAAAACAAGAAAAATGCACATATCTTTAAAGCTAAGCCAGACACATAAAATTCTAAACACAGTTATTACTTACTCTTTGCCAAGTGCCACAAGTCAAAGTAGTGGGTTATTTTAGGAAGCTTCTCCTTCATGTGTTTTGAAATAGAAGTGTGACGATCTGAAATAAAGGTTGACACACTCAAACCATCCTGTAAAAGCCCTTCCAATGCCTTTGTGAATGCCAGATACTCCATTGCTGGGCTGCTACCAGCTTCATTTCTCTAAGAGTAAGTAAAAATTAAACAATATAAAAAATGATCAGTGCTTTGGAAAAGGTATTCTTAAATTACTTTTACATACCTGCACTAAACAAAAATCTACAATTTTACTTATGGGTCCATTGCAGCAGAACATACTGTATGCACAGTATTTTGCACTATGCCCCATACATATGGCCCATCACCAGCAAGAACTATGTCTTGCATTTTCTTTAATGTTGAATTCAATGATTCTTTGTACTTTTTCCAATGTAAATGAATGCTTGGAAACAGCTTGGTCTGAAAAAAATTAGAAACCTATGAAAAAATTAATCCTAGAAAAAGCACATGTTCATTAACAAACAATGGATGCAAATTTTTGCATGCATATTTGAAAAAACTGCACACATACATTTTGATGTCGGAAAAAAGATCGCAATGAAATGCACCGCAATCCCATGTGCTGGAATATTTTTAAAGTTTTGCTGGCAGATCCACCTCCACTCAAAATTCCAAATGAAAGAAGTAGGTTTCCAGCAGGAATTGTTGACGTTGCAATCCTAATGTTGGGTTGGCTAGACCAAATACTACTCCGTTGTTTGCAATGGACATTGTTGCAAGTTGTCTCTACTTGAATCATTGTTCCAAATTCTTTCATTTCCATAAGGGCGTCAGGCACTTTACAGGATGGGCAAACCTCAAACAGTTTCATTAGTTGTGACAGAAAAACTATGTATTTGGTTTGCTTCCTTAGGTTGCTATCACTTGCTGCATAAACACTGCAACAGAAACAACCCTTATCATATATCAATGAGGACTGCTATCTAGCATGTAGTAACATAAAGAGTTTTACCATTTTCCATCTGAATAATCTGTATCACTGCCTTCTTCACTTGATGTTACATTTGCTGAAAGTTCATCCTCAGTTTCCTCATCTGTATTGGAATCTTGTGATTCTTGATCCCCAGAGTCACTATCCATGTGCTGCATTATCTTCATCAATTATATCAGAATGATGAGCAGCATCATAGATGTTATTTTCTGGAACATGATCTGAAAACATAACTTAATTCGCCAATTTACATAATCATTTGAGTTTATATATTAGCTCATTAAATTTGATCAGTATTCCCTAACTGATACAATTTATTATATTTTCACCTAATATTGATTACATTATACAATAGCATACCAAATCTCATTTTGAGCTTTATAAAACAGCATCTTTCTCTTCATTTGGAGCAGCTTGCTAGTCAGTTTCACACAGTTTTGACATTTCAGTGGCAATGTCTGGATCCACTTGTCATTTGCATTTACTCCTTCAAATAAACCACACTTTCTTAATTTTAAAGTACAAGGTGTATAATAATATTTTACAAAATACTTTTAGTTTGAATATTAAATATTTCTTAAAGGGGAACTTGAATTTACACTTGTGGTAAACTGCTCTAATGAAACAGCATTGATAATAGCCCAATCAGTGTATTTGCTAAGCAGTTATTAATGTAGGTAAATTGTTCGGCAAAAAATATTGTCATTGTTGGAAGACGTAACTCTATTCATTTCAATTTCATTCAAAGTGAGCTAATCAAACTTACATGTGCTGATTTGCCAGGATCTTAGTGGTCCATGAAAACTGTTATCAGTTTCATCAATGAAAGTCATAGTGTCTGTTTGCATACATTCATCTGTATTTTCAGCAGATACATTATTTAAAGAAGTGCAAGGCTGAGAAGATTCTATATTTTGGAAATTGCTTCCTTCTTGACTCACGCTGCACTCTTCGTAATTTGCACACCGAGCGTGAAATACCTATATCAATAGTTTTGTGAAATTACTTCCTAAGTTAGCAACACATAAATGAAAGGAGAACCTTAAATAGATTTTTTTATATGTAAAACTCACAATGCGACGACGATCTCGTTCTGATAACACGGTTTCTGTTTCATTAAGCTTTGAAGGCCAGACACATATGCCAATATTATCCTCTCTTAAGTAGGAGCTACAAGCAGTGGTGTATCCGAATTACTCACTCCATCTCACTAGTAAAGCGACACACAAAGTCATCATCTTTAAAATGCTTAGAGCAAACTTCGGAAGACGCAGAAGGTACCCAATTTTTCGTTTTCTTTTGACAAAATCAACCCAAGCTTTTCTAAGTTTCTTAGCTTCTGGTCTGGTATCATTCACAAATGGGATTCTATGGAGAGCAATCCCCTTCTTCGAATTTGATGTGTTTGAACATCCAAACACGACGCATCTGTGTGGCATCTTACCGGAAAATTTTTTTAGCAAACTTCTTAAAAAATATATCTTTTAGTGTTTGCTATAATACTAACGTTATAGAATAGCAGAAATGCGTTCCCGATGTGACGTCACACTGGCCATTTGTCATTATTAATTACCAGTCTTTTTACTCTCACGGTCAATATGAAGAAATGTTCGAAATCCGCAACTTTAAGGTGCTCAAACTCCACAAAGATGAAATTTTTCAATTATAAAATATATTGCAAATGTTCTTGAAATCATCTAAACTATTATAATATCATCGTTTTGAAAACATGTCATAGGCACTTTAACGACCTGAATTGTGTAGCAAAAATAAGTGATGGCTTGTATTATCAAGTTTTGCGATTTTGTACAAAAGGGTGAAAGATTTCTTTTCGTCTCAAGTATTGTCTCTGTAACAGTCGAAAAAGAGAACTCTAAACCTGGAGAACTTGCCTTCGGACAGTGTGGTTTCAATCGATTTGCCCAAGACATATTGTTGTTGACACGTATAATTTACATTTATCTGCTTCATGAATTTATAGATAAGGGATATTTAGAATTAAACCATGCTAGGAGCGCCATATAATCATTGCATGTAATAGACCTCAATCATAGAACTCCTTATTGCTTGTTTGATTTTCCTTATTTCGTCTGAAGTTGATGTTGGAAGAAACACCTTCCTTCCAACATCAAAATATGAATGAGAATTTCAAGGAAAATATGATGATATGAGACATAACTACATATAAAGTCATGCAAAACAAACCACAAAAATATATTTTAAGTCATCATCTCCAAGTACGTTGTATTCAATTCAAGAAGATATATTAACACGTAATCAATCTTTAAAAAAAACATAAACTAAAAGAGTTTGATTATTAAACTGACATGCACTATAGCTAAAAATGAAATATTGTTAAAGGGTTATAGCGCTTAAGGAAATATTTATATTATCACCGAAAACAATCAGTTTATTCTCGCTGAAGCCGCTGTTTCACATCAAAGAAAGAGAAAAGATTCGGCTGATTTGAGAAGACTTTTCACTTAAGCTTATGGGTACATCAACAGCAGATTGAGGATTTTATTTATGGAGGCCGGTGCGCTTCATTTAGACATGTCGTAATACCAAGGCATTTTCATTCATCATGACAAGCTACTGCGATATCCGTGAAAGGCAGGCATATACACCATGCTCCTCAAGCCGTCTGGATCACCCTTGTGAATGGCAAACAACATTTTTTTTAAAAAATTCTGTACTCTGTAAAACAGGAACTTGATAATTGTACTTAACTTATCAACAGGAGCGGATCCAGCAATTCATAGAGCAATAGACAAAATAAGTTATACAACACCCCATTGATTGGTTAAATTTTATTATTTGAAAATTCATTACCAACAGCGTTGAATAGTTGGTGTTTTATGTACGAAATTCAGTAGAAGATATAAATTAGTTCAATACCCGACCATGGATCCGTTATTGCTTGATAACTATATTATAGCCATTGATGACTAATTTGCTCGATGAAACTTGATAAATTCATAACTAAACTATATATTATACTCATCATACAAACTTGATAACTATTATATTCATGCTCGCGTCTTTCAGACTAACGACCTGATTTCATTGCAGTCTTGCTATGATTAATTGCACTTAAAACTATTGTGTAACACTTATAATAAATGTATCGAAACTCAAAAGTGTGATACCGCCAGTGAAAGTGTGAAACATCTTTTTGTTGTTAACTTTTCAACCCTTAACACTCCTACCTCCCTCGCGCCTCGCCAAGATTGTTAGCACATTCAAGTGCAGAACATAAAATTGGCTTCAAGCATGATTGAAAAATGAACATATGAGAAAATTATTCAACTGCCTACATTAACCAATTTCAATCCACAACGCTTTGGTATCTATAGTCAAATTCAAAATAAACTAAACTGTTTTATTTAAATTTGTTGACGTTGCAAAACATCCGTTTCTATGACGAGTGGGAAGTTTTTGGTGAATCTTAGACAAACTAATGCATTTCGGAAGACTGTATTTTTTACACCTACGTAGTTTAAAATAAAAAGAAAAATACAGGCTCCTGGTTAAAATTTTGTTTTGCGTCTTAGCAAATCAACGCTCGTGATAATCAACTTGTGGTTTTACGTCAGGCAATGCGTCGTTTGTAACTGGCTACAGTGCTTTGCTTTTTAAATAAACACATAAAAGGACGTCGAACTCCAAAAAAGACTTTATGTTTGTATTGCATTGTTGATTTACAAAAACTTCCTAAGATTTACAAAGCAATAAAACTCGCCCACGCCGGCTCTTAAATGTTTCTTGCTCTATATTCCAAAAAGTTGATAATTTTGCATTTCATATGTCAGGAAAGTAAAGAAATCCACAAATATATTTTATAGAGACAGCAAACGATACAATAAAGAGCAGCTACAAGACAAAAACTGCCACTTTCAGTTCCATCATGACCATGATTCAAGACCATCATGGGACTTTATATTGAATTAGTGCTAAATGTTAACTAATATCTATGTTATATTTTACGTTCTATCCACAATAGGTTTTTATATTTATCAAAATATCAAGCACCATAGTATATACTATGTCAAGCACCATTGTATATATACTTTCGTGATCGTATAATCTAAAGCATAACCATCTTGACGATTTGGGTGGCCTTATTTTAAGTGTATCAACCGATAACTGGTAATTACACCAGGATAGAATTTACATAATAATAAGCAATTATTGGATGAGGTTCAGCATGATATCAAGAATTATTCAGACCGATGTCATTGTTATCTGCCTTACGTAAATAAAAGCACAAATACATGATGACAAGTGTTGATTTGCTAAGACGCAAAACAAAATTTTAACTAGGAACCTGCATTTTTCTCCCTATTTCGAAATAAGTAGGTGCAAGAAACACAGTATGCATCATATATGGAAACGGATGTTTATAGCAACGTCAACAAATTTAAATAAAACAGTTTAGTTTATTTTGAATGTGAGTATAGATATCAAAACGTTGTGGATTGAAATTTGTTAATAAAGGCAGCTGAAAAAAATTCTCATACGTCTATTTTTCAATTATGCTCGAATTAAGCCCGAATGTACTTGAATGTGCTAACAATCTTGGCGAGGCGGGAGGGAGGTAGGAGTTGCACATGAAAACTGTTATTAAGTGTTTACGTAGCGATAATTCATAATGTCAGGATTTGCCAAGTTCTAATAAAAAAAACATAATATTTTTCATGCAACTCATAATTTGCGTGATTTAGTAATAATCGGTGCTCTGAAGTAAGTTTATCTCCTAAAGTGGAGCGTTTTGCCTCTGTGATTCAATTCGTAATTTTTATTCAGTAAAATAAGTTTAATTGCCATAAATTTGGCAGAAGAGAAAAATCATGATGTATATGCATGCAAAACATAATTGAAGTGAAACATAGATAAAGAACAGCTCAAACTTTTTTAATATTTCATCTCTGAGTCTTTTTTTATCTACTCCAACATACTTGCACTGCTTATCAACGCTACTGCACGTACCCCGAGTTTGCTTTATTAATGGCAATGCTCATGAAATGTTTAGTTAAGAATGCATTCAAAGATACCATTTTACATTACAACGCAAACAATAAGTAACTGTACATACTATACGTCCTAAGAGGAGAAGTCGCCATCGCAATATGGTGATAGCCAGGTGGGCACATTAAATTTGTTATACTCAGTATATAATAATATAATAAAGCTAGCTATATTAACAAAATATAATGTACTACAAATAAATATAATGTACAACAAATATAAATATTCTCCGTATATTCATACATACAGAAACAAAAGCAAATAAAAGCAATGTAAACAATGCGGTAAATTTTATATGTTAGTCAATCAGATTTTAAAAGATCACATGCAAATTATAAGTATATCTGTATTTGAGGAATTTTCCCAAATTTCTCTGCCAACAAAAAAACTTCCTAAACGCTGATTATCATTGGCAGATGTTGATAGCAATCTATATAAGTGGCTTGCTAAATGAAAGAACCGACTTATAAAAAGTTCCGCTGATTTAAAAATTCATTTAAATGTGCTTTAAATAACTTCATAATGATGTATTTCATTTAATTAATACAAAACAAAGAATCTCTTTGAAACTGTAAAAACGTCCTCTACATATAATACAAAAAACTGTCTTATTTAATTCGAAAAGCGTAATTCGTTCATCCTATAGACAATTTGGCACTTACATTTATAGCTCTAAATTTATTTTTCTACAGGCAATGAATTCTTTCCAGCAAAAATCAAGAAAGTCACATGCATTTTTTTGAGTGCGTCCAATAACTTCCTCTTATAAGTTGATTTCTTGTGATACAAAAACAACGCCAAGTAATTGGAAAATTACTTTAATTTCCACTGAAGGAAGTTCAAAAAGTTTTATTCAATCAATACCATTTCTTTGCACGTGGATTTTGTAAGAAAATAATTAAAGCAAAAGAATTTCAAAAACGTCCTTTAATGGTTCTCAAAACATTTTACGTGCTGTATAAATACTGCCACGGCAACAACTATTACATTCATTCATTACAGGACATCTAGTTGGGAAAGCACTCAGTAGTTTTTGTGAATTAACTACAGTTTGACGAAAGTTTGATAAAAAGGTAATACCAATGTTTCTTTCTTTTATTTAATAGCTATACTACTACTGCTTAAAGAAGAAATTTACTATTTTACATGGATTTATAGCTTTTATTGTGCAGATATCAAAACAGGATTGAAATGAATTTGGTTTTATTATCAAATTCTTTCAAATACTCTACTGAATTTTAGCTCAATAAAGTGCATGCTCTTTTAAAGTTGTTTTAAAGTTACTTTTAAAACCATCAATGAGTTTTTAATCAAATCCGTTTGCTAAAAGACTGTAACCCCGTATAAATATGCTGATATTTGACCAATTTTAAAGTGGAGAAACGGACCATTTACAGAAGAGCACTTAACTTCAAGCAAAGTCTTCTAAAAATACAATGATGATTAAGAAGATCCTTGTACTTATTGCTTTTACGCTAACAATCTGCACACATGTCACTCATGGCATTTGCTGCAGCAAAATAGAAGAGCTATTAAAGAAAAAGAAGAATGCTTTTGAAGTTCTTTGCGCAACTGGACACAATCTCCCTCGTGGCTGCTGTGATGACATCAAAAAAGGAGTGACATCATATGAAAATGCATACAAATCATTGTGTGTTAATGTAACAGGTAAGATACTATAAACTAAAGTTCGATTGAGAAATTGAGCTACGGTAAATTGTGTGGTGTTGAAAAGGATATCAAAATTCTTCTTGTTATTTTATTTCCCTGATAGGTATTTTGCAGGATTCGAGTATTCTAAAAGGTAAACCAAAATGGATCTCGCACATTAAGAAATGGCTTTCTTCGAGCTTGAACGGCAAGAAGACAGTGCGCTGTTACAGAGCAACAGTTAATGGATGGGCCGCGACTACATTTCACAAAAACTGTGACTCCAAGGGACCTACATTAGTCTTGTTGAAAAAAGGATCCTATGTGTTTGGGGCATTTGCATCACAATCGTGGGGAGGTAAGCTTTAACTAACTAAGTTTAAGCTATGGTTATTACTAAAGATTCATAATAGTGCGATTATGAAATAAAAGACGATATATTTCTTTAATGTCAAGACATTGTGTGAAAAAATGTCATTTTCCAAGCAAATGTCTCAGATGACAAAATAAGAGACCATGAATTGATGCCTAAAGTATCATATACTGTTTTTCTAGGTAGTAGTCGTTACATTCGAGCACCAAAATCTTTCATATTCTCATTAAAAAACAAGCATGGTCTGCCACCATTTAAATCCAGTCCAACCAAATATCCACAATACGCAATGTACACAACCAGCAGCTACGGACCCACATTTGGAGCTGGTCACGACATTTACATCGCCAACAATGCCAAGTCTAGTTCCAGTTCTTACACAAACTTTGGTCAAGCATACAAACTCCCATCTGGCTATTCTTACGGAAGCACCAAAGCAAGAGAGTTGCTGGCTGGCTCCTACAGGTTCACTTTAGACGAAATGGAAGTGTTTTACTTTTCTTCATAAATTATATGAACATAAATGATTTGATTGTTCAATCTATGAGTAAATTTGCTGGAGCTTTTAGTTAATAAACCTGTCTTTAGTGGAATAATTTGATATTAAATTAATGCAACTTCGGAAAAGCATCTAAGTATTTGTCGTTGATAAATGTTAACCAATGTTTCAATAGTTTATTCTCAATTGAAGTTGAAATCACATTTTTACCACGGTATATTTTGCTATAATAACATCTCGATCATTCTCTTTCTTTTATAAACTCGAGCTATTATATAGTTATAGCAAAACCTGTTCAATTCACAACTTTCACCTTGTCTCAATACAAAATCTTCAAGTATGCCTTCGGTAGCTATATTCCTTATTTTGTGTTTTTTTGGTTGCATATAATGGCTATATTATTTACTAGTACTTGCTGCAAGATGGTCTTTGATTTTTACGGAAGCTGCCAAAGGTAAGCCCGATTTTCAAATTTGGGTTTACGTGTATTTTCTCTAGATTATGCACAAACGCGCATGCCTGACAAAAAATACCTTGAATCAATAATATCCTTACTTGAATCATTTCAAGCGGTAGTGGCACTATAATAACTTCTGAATTTCGTTGTGCTTTTTTGCCAACAATATTATGAGTATTTGACTAAAAAATGAAACAGGTAAACGAAAAATATTACATATTTGATACTGTGTTCATTAAACTTGTTGAAGACTTATGCCCGTATTCTAAAAGCTCACTCAAGTGCGACATAAAAATCACACTCTATCTAATCTTTGGCAAAGTCATTTCTCCATCTATAGCAAGATTTGCTCCTAGGTATTTCAAATCAAGTAATAAGTTGAGTGAAACTGCGGTCTTCGAATAGTTATTTTAGAGTGATTTTATAGCCCTACTTATATTGAGTGTGAGTGGCGTTTTAGAATACGGACACACTAAGTTTTAAATCAGATGACCCAACAACTGTCTAACTCTTTCTAATTTGCCAAATGCCCTCCTTCCAGCGTTCCTTACATTTAATGTCACATAATTGTGGTCACATCTATTGTTCATCATTATACACAGAATAAGGAATATACATATATAAGAGCCACTTCATTGAAATCTTTTGGACCACATATATTTATTAAACATGTGATTTTCATGTCAACCAGTCAATTGCCGTTCATCAATCAAATATATACAATAATGTACAGTGAAGCGATCCTTGATTTTGTATTTTCATTATTGTTTGGTTTCATGGTTGTAATGGCTATTCATTTTTCATCTTTAACTTTGGCTTTGATTTTTATAGTAAGTTTGAGTTCACAATATTCAAACGTAATTTTCGTAGTGTTAATTGACAAAAGCAACTATGAGAAGTGAGAATAATGCAAAGAAAGACGTAAAATGTGTAAAAGGGTGAAATGACAAAGACTTTTTCAGACAAAAAATGTTCCAGGGACTAACGTTTATTTTTCCTACAAGTAGCTGGCGGAATCTCATATAAATGTATGCGTATGCATGATATATTTAGAAAACTCAGGTGATTAATTCAAACGATTGCAGTTGTTTATGCATCCTATAGCTGTGTATTGATATCATAAACCTTATGCAAAGTATTTCTCATTACTAACCTTCTTTTCATCGCAGCCGAGTGTTCTTCTATCAATGGCATAAACTCCATAATGAATGAATAGTACGGTGACATCTCAAACACCATTAAAAAATACCATTTTTCTCCTCAACCTTAGTCGATTAATGTGTGTATGCAAAAGATGGTAGATAAACGAAAGCTGATAGAAGAAAGCAGATAAGCAGATAAACGAAATCCAAACGTTAGCTGCAGATGCGTTATGATGTTATCCTGCTCCTCGAAAAATTGACTACAACAAACTATCATTCCAGGTAAATGTCCTTACTAGCACCATGATGCAACTGAAGATCTCAAAACCTGAACTTATACAGCAGCTTACACACAATGACCTGAAGTCACAATCAACTATAGAGGAATCTTACAAGACAAAAGTATGTCGAAAAGAAAAGTTTTGTTGCAATTAATAAGTGCAAAATAAGTATTTCAATTTTCATTTAAGGAATTACAATATTGGTTTCCTTGCATTGTTATTGAATGATTACAATTACTATCTATGAGATTATTTGCTACGTGCGACAGCTAATTCGGTTAATTTAACAAAAAAAGGAGAAACCATGCTTTTTTCATGACACTTTCTATTCGTGAATGATCTGATTATTATGAGGAGAAATAGAACACTTCAATTTCGTTTGGACGGAACTGGTAGGAGCCACCCAACAATTTCTTTGCTTTGTTGCTCGCGTACGAATAGCCTGATGGGAGCTTGTACGTATGACCAAAGTTTGTGTACGAGCTTGTGCTGGTTCTGGCATTGTTGCCGATTTTTAAATCATGACCACCTCCAAACGTGGGTCCATAGCTGCTGCTTGTGTACATTGCATATTGTTGATATCTATATATTGAGGATTTGAAAGGGGCCAGACCAGCCGGGTTTTTAAGAGAAAAAATAAAAGAATCTGATGCTCTTATGTAACGGCTACTTCCTACAAATAAACAACATAAGACAATTACATTTCAATTAGAAATTCTTAGTGCTTTCTTTAGTGATTATTTCTTAGTAATTTCCATTCCTTTTTGTAAGTCAAAAGGATATTATATATTTATGCATGAAAAATACGAACCGGTTGAAAAATACGAACCGGTTGATCAAAGATTAAACTCGCCGGCTGAAATGTACGTACGCTGAAGTCAAAAATCAATGGAATTGAGAAATTTTTTCATGTATATGATTAATAAGGAATAGCATGGTTTCTTGTGCAATTTGAAAAACAGGCACTCGTGAGTTTTTCAAAGACTTCAAATTGAATTGTCCTTAGGACTTTTGATAGTCTTTGAAAAACTCACTCGTGCATTTTTTCCCAAGTTGCACTCGAAACCATGCTATTACTTATAGAAAGTGCACCTGATTAGTTAGTCAAATAAAAAGGTAATCAAAATAGAGCCAATCGAAATAAATCATTTCAATGGCGGGAAATTTAAGTTATTATAAACAAAAGCAAATGGATACAATGGCAAGCGTAAATTTTAAGTAGATTTTCTTTAGAAACCGAGTCTACAGTTCTGTATTTGGAAGACATTTCCGAAAATGCGAACACTTCTGGTTATAGCTACCTTGTTTTTGGCTTTGTGTTTGGAAGCAATGGTGTAAAAAATTATTTGAACGAATTAAAAATTTACGAGCCGGTCGATAGTTATAACTTACCAGTTGAACCGTGCGACGCTCAAGTCAAAAATTAACAGAATTGAGAAACTCTTTTATTTAGCTATATTATTAAATTATTTTTATGCAATTTGTAAATCATGGACTCGTGAGTTTTTTTATAACTTCAATTTGCATCTCGTATGCAAACTACGTATAACTATAAAAATATGGTTTGGTGCTGGTCAAAGTTGCAAAAAAACTGCGGGTAGACTGGTACTATCGGCGAATAAAATTTTCGAGGATGATTCAAAGTTGAATACTGGAAGTTAAGCACATGCATGCATGTACCCGTAACACCCGGTAAATTTTTGAACGTTTCGCCCTTGTTTTGACGGATCTCTTTTTCATATAGACATTAAGGTGGTTTGTGAAATTCCTCCTTTGAAACACGTCGCTAACACATACAAAAAATTACGTATAACACCTCCAGTTAGACAACAAAGTTCCTCTAAAATCTGCGAGGAGGCCGTAGAATATTTTACCTAATATAAATTCCTAATATAGTGTATCACAAATTTTTTCTACGTTAGCTAAATGTGTTTACAATATCGTTTAAAAGGTGCTTACAATTTCTTCAAAATACATCACATTACTGGTGACAAAGATAGTTCACTTATATTCCAGAAAAGCATTCTTAACCTTCATAAATCAGTTTTGGCCATATTTTTACTCTAAAATGCACTCGCTTTACCACAAAAAAACATGGTTTGAACCTTGCTTCTGGCAGTTATCTGTTGCACCGAAAACTTCCAAGTTGTACTTTTTTTTTATTAGTTATTTATTCTGTGCACCTGTCCTTTATATTCGGCAAAAAATTAGACTACGAAAGACAGATTTGAAAATTATATCCCATTTTATTTCTTCATGTATGCATTTATCATTTCTTATAGTTTTGTAAAGATGGCTTTTGCATGATGTTCCAATTTTACGATATATTTCCATGGTTTAAGTTTGGTGTAGGTATATATACCAAGACGCACGCGATTGTAGTTAACTAATAAACATTATTATCATTATTATGATGCCATATTTTGTTTAAAATTTGGTGTTATAACTTACATGGCGAAAAATAAAATGCTTCCACTTCGTTTGGAATAAATTTGTAAGAGCCAGTCAATAAGTTCTTTGCTTTTGTGCTCCCGTAAGAATAGCCAGATGGGAGCTTGTATGTATAACCAAAGTTTGTATAAGCTTCAACAATTCCAGGCTTATGTGACCAGCAAGATACTAGTACATAAACTACTATTAAAACGACGACCGGTATACAGATAAATCTTTATTTCAATGCAATGCGTCAAACGTACGGTTCTAAACGACAGAGTATAGATATTAACATAACCGACAAGGAGGCCTAAAGCCGTAATCATCGTTACCTCGTAATTTGGCCACTAAATATAAACATCCATGTACAAAAAATACACCACTATACATGAATTGTGCTCAATCTCAAAAAGACCCCAAGAACCATGCTTTTATACGGGTCCCTTTTTTGTTTTTCATAATAATTAGCATAATAATTAGCATAACCTAAGCTCTATGCATCTCGATCCTACATACCAGCCCCGAACGACCTACTATACGTCGTTCAATAATTCAAAAAGGATCGAGAGCTACAATACAAATGTTTTCAATGTTAACTTGCGCAAGTTTTAAACAATGTGTCCACCAATCTTGTCGAATAACCAAACATAAACCAATAGATACCGTCGTTTAACGTAAACAAAATAATAATAACAGTTAAGTGACAACAACAATAACGTTCGTTTTCTGAAGAATTTCTCGCTTTACTTCGCAGTCTCCAATAGGCACAACTTCCTGACATCTCGACGATAACGACTTTGATTCGCCGTGCGGATCTCTACTTGCCGAACATGTCCGTTGCTATCGGGAAATGTTTCTTCAACTATCGCTAGAGGCCATTCACCTCTGGGAGTATCTTCCATCACCATCAAAACGACATCACCTTTGATTAAGTTTCGTTTTGGGTGTAGCCATTTCTGTCGTTCTTGCAAACTTGGCAGGTATTCTTTTAACCACCTTGCCCAAAATTGGTCAGCTAACTTCTGCGCTCGTTTCCATATTTCTCGGGGGTTATTTGCCGTAGGTGAAGAACTTGCACTTGTGCTTATGTTTCGATAACGCAGGAGTAGAGTGTTTGGTGTAAGAGTTGATAAATCTCGAGGGTCATCACACTGCCGTACAAGAGGCCGATCATTCACTATTTTCTCGACTTCGCACATTACTGTAAGGAGTGTTTCATCATCAACAACTCGGTCTCCTATTATAACACGCATTTGCTTCCTGATTGTTCTGATCATGCGCTCCCAAACTCCCCCGCTATGGCTTGCTTTCGGAGCAGAGAAATGCCATTGAATTCCCTTTTCTCTTAGACGATCTAATATTCTAGCTTGATTCCAATTTTGCAACATTTGCTTAACTTCAGATTCCGCTCCTCTAAAATTCGTCCCGTTGTCACTGAACAACTCATTCGGCGGTCCGCGTCGACTGACGAACCTACATACGGCTTGAATGAAGGAATCTGTCGATAGGTCATGTGCAATCTCAATGTGTATGGCCCTTATGGCTAAGCAAGTGAATACACAGCCATATCGTTTTCAGTTCCTCTTTTATATTTGACTTTAAGAGGTCCAAAATAATCGACTCCCACAGATGAAAACGGGTACTCACCAGATTTCACACGAGCTTTTGGCAGTGGGGCCATTATCTGCTTCCCTGGAGACTGGTTTCGGCGACGACACGGAACACAATTATTGACTATACTCTTCACAGTGCTAGGTCCCTTTATTATCCAGAAGCGTTGCCGTATTGCTGCTAGAGTTTGACTGGTTCCAGCGTGACCTTCCTTTGCATGGTAATACCGGACAATGAGCTTTGTAACGTGATGACTGGAATCAAGAATTGCGGGATGTTTAGATTCTTCCGGCAGCGATGATTTATCCAAACGTCCACCAACTCTCACAATTCCTCCGGCGATGACTGGACATAGTTTAGCGTATCTCTCTCTCATAGTTTTCTCGTTGATAGATGAACTTCGTTGGGTAAGTTTAATTATTTCCTGGGTTGCCGATTCAATCTCTTTTACCTTTAGAGGACCACGTTGTACTTCTAATCCTGGACCGTTTGGATAACGGCTTAAGATGTACTGTTTGAATCTTAGCAGCCATGCAACCGACTTCTGCAATCTGTACCATTCGGATGTTCGATGGATAAGTTGTATTAGCGAATCAGGGGGTGCATCCTTTGAGTTGATGACGGCACCAACTCTTGCTTTAGGTTTCTTTACTTCCACATCTGTGTCTTCTACGTCTGGTATGTCATCTAGCTGCGTTGGCCATAATTTGGGATCTTTCCAAAGGAAATCGGGTCCGTTCAACCAAAACTGCAAGTCCCGTTGGTCTTGGCCTGTTGCGCGACCAAGACTTATACCTCTTGATGCAAGGTCGGCTGGGTTGAGCTTGGTTGGCACATGTCTCCATTGATTCGGAGTAGAAGCATCGTGAATAACTTGTAATCGATTCGCTACAAAGGTTTGAAACCTTTTGTTCTCGCTCTTAATGTAACGCAGCACTATCATTGAATCGCTCCAGAAAACAATTTGACTTATTGACAGATCCAACTCATCACAAATTTGTTTATTCAGCTTCACGGCCAATGTTGCAGCGGTTAGTTCCAATCTGGGTACCGTGACTGTTTTAAGAGGTGCAACTCTTGATTTGCCCATAACTAAGGTACAATGAATCCTTCCTTGGGTATCTTCCAGCCGAAGGTACGTTGCTACCCATATCCTTCAGTCGATGCGTCAGCAAAATAGTGGAGTTCCGCATTCCTTGTCTTGTTAAATTCGTGCGGTTTATAGCATCGAGGTATTTCTAATTTCACAGGGAATGGAATTCGCTTTGCCAGTCATGCCATATTTCGCTTGTCTCGATTGGGAGATCTTCGTCCCAGCCGTGATTTACTCGACACAGGTTTTGCATTATGCGTTTGGCTGGTAAAACGACAGGAGCGACTAGACCAAGGGATCGTAGACCGAAGCTATGAACGATAGAATCCCTCTTCTTGACTCTGCTTTCAATTTGCTTCCCCGGAATCCCAACGTGTCCCTTTCCGTATTCCACTGAACGCCCAATGCTTTCTCCATCGGCAACTTCTCCAACTGAAGGCTGACGCATGGCGCTCTTTCTTTGTTAGGTACGTGAGATAAGACTTCTCGATCATTTGACACCCACTTTGTGAGATGGAATCCACCGCGAGACAGCAAAACTGGTAGTTCGTCTACCAACTTCATTGCTTCTTTCCTTTCTGGTAAAGACTTGAGACAGTCATCTACATAAAAGTTACGATCAACTGTGTCGACAACTTGTTTGCTGAATTCTTTCCGATTATCTGAAGCTGTTCTTTTTAACGCGTAAGAACAACAACTTGGGGAAGAGGTTGCTCCGAATAAATGAACAGTCATTTGATGCTCTACTGGTTCTTTGGATAGATCTCCCTCTGGCCACCATAGAAATCTCAGTGCATTACAGTCTTCTGGCTTAACCTTCACCTGATGGAACATCTTCTCAATATCTGCCATTACCGCTATCTTTTCCTGCCTGAACCGCAACAATACACCAACTAATGAATTGGTATAATCTGGTCCTTGAAGAAGCTGATTATTTAGGGATGCGTTGTGGAACTTCGCAGCACAGTCAAAAACGATTCTTGTCTTTTCTGGTTTTTGCGGGTGTGTCACAGGGTGATGAGGCAGATACCAAACCAGTTTTTTGAGTGACTCGTCCTGTGTATTTTGTTTATCCACTTGAACTACTTTAGCGTGCCCTTTTGAGATGTATTCCTTCATCGTTGCCTTATAATTTGCGTGAAGTATGGGGTCCCTCTCAAGTCGTTTCTTCAAATAAGCAAGTCTCCTTTCAGCCATAGACTTATTGTACGGGAGAAGTGGGTCATCGTATTTCCAAGGAAGACCAATTTCATATTGATGATTTTTTAGCTTGACAGTTCTATCCATTATTGCCTTTGCGCGACGATCCTCGACCGACAGACATTCTTTAACGTCAGCAGCCGACTCGCTAAATTCTGAATTGTAGAGATTTTGCAATTGCTGACGAATGGAACTCATACCATCTTCCCTTTCCATACACCCAAGAGCTTGATCAACATGAATGAAGTTCATCTGAGCTTCTTGATAAGGTTTTCCTTTCAGAGGTCCCATCACCGTCCAACCGAGGATTGTCCGTATTGCGTAGGGTTGATTTCTTTTCCCAGAACGCACTTCAAGGGGGCAAAGAGCTTCGGGAACGTCACTTCCAATAAGGATAGTGACTTTCTTATCCACTAAATCGGTTAGATTAACGCCTTTAAGGTGAGACCACCCTTTACATCAGTGTTCGTGGGAATACTTTCTAGAGCAACAGGAAGAGTGTTGGTCGTCCAAACTTTATCTAGTCTGACACCTTTGCCCGTGGATACTCCAACCACATCGAGAGATAACTGTTGACCCTTACTTTTGTGGCTGCCTGAAACAGTCGCTAACGTGAATTCGATGGGTGAGCAATCGGCTCCAAGATCTTCAGCTAAACTGGTTAAGCACATGGTTGTGTTGGAGCCGCTGTCTAAGAACGCATAAGTTTCTATCACACGACTACCATAGGGTGCGCTGACCTTAACTGGAATAACTTGCAAACCTATACGACAACTGCTATATGATGAATTTGTCGCGCCAACTCCAGACGTTGGGAGTGCTTTGGATTGGCTGTCGCTTTCAGATGGTTCAGGATTTGGATTACTCCTTTCACTTGATTTAGAATCCTTAGCCTTTATTTCGGATGAGTGTAACAAAGGATGGTGCCTTCTCTGACAACCTTCAACACCGCATATGCGGGCACCTCTGCAGTCTTTCACGAAATGTCCTGGGCTCAAGCAAGCATGACAAACTTTGTGCGTCTTTACTAGGTCTTGTCGTTGCTGAAGATTTTGAGCCCTGAACTTGTGACAGCGTTCAAGATGGTGTGTGCCTTTGCATAGTACGCAGGATAAATTTCTTCCCTTTGATTCACTACTGTCAAATATTCTCTGGCTGTGAGTTGCTAAGTTTGTGCTATTCCCACTAAACAAGAAGGATTTCTTCTTCAATCTGTCAGTTCCATCCTTTCGGGTTTCATTTTTCGAGGTAATCATTTGACCAAAGTACGTACTAGCCACGGCTGCGCGGGATTGTATGAATTCAGTTAAATGAGAGAAATCTGGTGTGATGTGATTGTCGTACATATGGCTTGCTTTATCAGCCCATTTTGACTTGAGATGCATTGGAAGGCGGCTAACTACCCTTCCCAGAGTGTCCATCGAATTGATACTTGCCCGATTTCCTAACTGAATAGAACCAAGGAGACACGTTTCCATATCTCTTGCTAGCTGCGACAATTTCTCGGCTTCGTTTACTCTAATTGGCGGTCCATTCAAGACTTTCTCAAGGAATGCTTGGGTTACGATGTGATTTCGACCAAAGTTTTTTCTCAGGATTTCCTTAGCACGCTTGTATCCTTGATCCGGAGGCATAATGATGCAATGCTCTATCGCTTGTCTTGCTGTTCCTTTACAATACTGAATAAGGTAATTCAGTCGATCTGCATCATTACTTTCTTTACTCTCGACATTCACTTCAAAATTCTTCATGAACAACGGAAAGTTGCGAGGTTCGCCATCAAAACTCATGTATTCCCTTTGAGGCATTCTTAATCCCTTCACTACTTCGTCCATCGTAATCTGCTGCTTCTCTAATAGATATTGTAACTGCGACGAATTGTCTCGTTGCAAGCTTTGCTGAGTTTGACATCCAGTTCCACTGGTTATTATACTTTCTTGGGGTACACAATTTCCGGTAGGAGGTATCGCCAAGCGCTGACTTAAACTGCTTCTGTCGATTGGGGTTGAAGGTTGCTGGACTGGGTTTTTATCTGGTTCACGAGCGTTACTACTACTTTCCCTGTCCGACAGTTGATGTTCAATATCATTACCAAAAACTTCTTCTTCAAGCTTCCGAAGCTCATCTCGACGTCGTTGTATTTCCCGTTTCTTCATAGCCATCTCATGCTCAATTCTCGCCTGATGCATTTCTTTCTCTAGTTTAAGCCTTGCCTCCCTCATCTGCTTGTTCAGCTCTTCTCTTCTATTAATTTCCAATTCTTCAAGTTCACGAAACCGTTCTGCCCATTTTGAATCAAGCGCGCTCGTTACTCCAGCCCCGTTGTCTTCAAAATTTGTTGTTTGCGTCGGCTTTTCCCACGCACGAGCAGTCCGCGTGACGTTCACGTGAGAAGCTGCTTGTTTACCGATATTAGAATGGACTGGAATACAGGAGCAAGAGGCGATAAAACCGAATTATCCTTCAAAATGAAGCGACCTGACTTAGACCAAGTTCAAGCTCCTGTTCCTGTTCGTCTGCTACTCGCTCCGGCGAACCCAAACTCGTCGAAGCCTCGTCAGAAACGACAACTTGCTTGTTTTGTACGACGACGTTCGGTCCGCTTTCAGCTCGCTCGCTACCGTCATCTTCAGCGGATTCAATCATGTCTTGATTCGTATTGTTAAGCGAATTCTCTCCAGATTTAGCTCGACTCACTTGACCTGGAGGACTTAACTGTTCGCCAGACGGCTGAAGTACGCGTTTTGATAAGCCTTTAATTTTCGACTTTTACCTTGACCCTTTCGTTTCTGAGTCATTGCTGATCGATTAAACAACAATTACGAGAACTATATAAGCTTCAACAATTCCAGGCTTATGTGACCAGCAAGATACTCGTACATAAACTACTATTAAAACGACGACCGGTATACAGATAAATCTTTATTTCAATGCAATGCGTCAAACGTACGGTTCTAAACGACAGAGTATAGATATTAACATAACCGACAAGGAGGCCTAAAGCCGTAATCATCGTTACCTCGTAATTTGGCCACTAAATATAAACATCCATGTACAAAAAATACACCACTATACATGAATTGTGCTCAATCTCAAAAAGACCCCAAGAACCATGCTTTTATACGGGTCCCTTTTTTGTTTTTCATAATAATTAGCATAATAATTAGCATAACCTAAGCTCTATGCATCTCGATCCTACAGTTTGTGTAAGAATTGGAATAGGACCCAGCATTGTTGGCGATATAAATGTCGTGACCACCACCAAATGTTGGTCCATAGCTGCTGTATGTGTACATTGAATATTGTTTGTATCTTGTAACATTGGATTTAAAGGGTGCAAGATTATCTTTGTTTTTAAAGGAGAAAATGAAAGCTTCTGGTGCTTGTATGTAACCAGAACGTCCTCCTGTAATTTAACAGTAATACGCAAAACACTTGAGTTAAAAGTTTCATATATGAAGATGATGTTGATATTTTCTATTTCACTAATCAAACTTTATGCTTCTTGACTGAAACAATGACCCGCTATACAAAACTTGCCATGAATTACTTTTGAAATTCAAGATAATTTGTTTACAATTTTTGCTAAGATTTCACTTCTATATGAAAAATTCGATGAGGATTAATTCTTAGATATAACGTCAACGTAATATCTTAGACGTGCAGATATAAGACAACTCCACTTAGCGTTATTCAATCAGTTTGTCATATTTTTATTGTAATCATATTGAAATAAGCACTAAGATTGGCTTAACTATTGTTTGCTTACATATATATTTGTAATATTCCGACATGAGGAAGTTCCAAGCCTGTATATATCTATAGATTCCCAATAAAAGGTACCGAACATGCAAATGATATCTGTGTTATCCCTTACAAAATTTGCATTATATTATAAAAACTATTTTCTTCTGCGTGCCACATCATTTTTTATCTTAGAATGACCATTGAATTCAAAAGGTATTCCCATGCAATTAATGTCGCATAAGTCACTCGACCTTACCTCCCCAAGATTCTGATGCAAATGCCCCAAACACATACGATCCCTTTTTAATAATAACCAATGTTGGTCCCTTTGAACCACAGCGACTGTGAAATGTCCTCCCTCACCATCCATTTTTCGTTGCATGGTAACAGCGCACCGTTTTTTTGTCATTCAAGTACGAAGGCAGCCATTGTTCAAGCTTTCCTATCCATCTCTTTTTATCCTTTAGAATGCTCGAGTCCTGCAAGATTGCTTGACGTGAAAATAAAATCTTATATGAAACTTTTGAATTGCATGCTTTACTAAGAAAACTCTTTATGTAATATAAGGCAAAATAAAAAGGTCGTTTAATTCTACAAGAGCATTTAACACAGATTTTTAGTAATATATTTTTATCACCTTATGTTATTAAGACATGGTCTGACAGTGACGTCGCTTGCGCTTTTAAAGGAGAGAAAGAATTTTGGTTTTGCCAAGAGAAATGTGAATTTAGCCTATTTATTTATCCCTGAATCTTTTCTTTATGCAATACATGCATATATGTCGCAGTTTGGCATTTACTGATAAAACTGCATTTACCAAACAACGCAGTGTAACCACATCCCTCATCTACCTTATTACACACCTCATAGCTACCTCGCTGTTTTTTAGAGTAAGCTAAAAACATTAGATTTAGATAAGTCAGATTTGAAACGTATATTCCATTTCATAAAGTAATACAATAGAACCACAATAACATGAGCTCTTCGCCAACTCAATGTAAATTTATGCAGTGCTCTGCTGGATTTAATATTATTTCATTTATATCAATTTACTCCTTTTAACTCGAACGTGCATACTCGAAAGAATTTCAATTTTACTTCAGGTCAAATTTCCCTGGATGACTTGAGCTTTAATCTCGAAACATAAAAGGGTAAGTTCAAGGGTGAAAATTATATAAGTAAAAAGCGTAAATTTGATTTAAACAGCACAAATTAATAAATCATGCATTCACATAGTTTCATAAGTTCATAATGAATAATTTGCCCGAAAAGTATCACAACTTTGATATTTCTGAATTCGTGATTATGAAAAGTTCGGTCTTGAAAAGTGCTTTAATCACCCTTCAACTATTTGTATATTGGTGTGTTGCAGCTTACAATTGTGAGCGAATACTGAAATTACCGATGCTTTCGTATAATCACGTAATATACAAAGTATAACAGCTCACAATTTCCATGAACCTCGAGAGAACACAAGTTAATGGGTTTTTACTATACACACGAGTATTTTTTGTAGTTCTTGCATAATGAAATGTCTTTGCAATTTCAATTCCATGATTTCAAATGTCACGTCACCGACTTGTGTCGCTATACACGCCAAACCGCTGAATATAAGCTGTTGTTTTTATGACGCCATATTTGATTAAAATTTTTAATGTTAACTTACGTGTGGAAAAATAATAGACTTCCAGCTCATTTGGTGTAAATCTATATGACCCAGGTAACAGGTTTCGTGTTTTTAGAGTTCCCAGCAGAATAGCCAGATGGTAGATTATATCCATAGCCGAAGTTTGTGTATGAGCTGGAACTGGATCCGGCGTTGTTAGCAATATAGATATCAAAACCGTATCCAAATGTGGGTCCATAGTAACTATTTGTGTACATGGCGTATGCATTATTGGACGTATTTGATTTAAAAGGTGCCAGACCATCCTTGTTTTTAAAGGAGAAAATGAAAGAGTTTGCTGCTCGTATGTAACGACTGTTTCCTATAAAAAGACAGACATACAAAATTACATTTAAGATGGAGCATTTACGATGGAGCATAGGAATTCCTAGCACAGATATAACAATGCCATTTGTCAATTCTATATTTTCAATGATCGAATCTTGTAATTCTTAGTTGGAACTTTATGCCTCTTCATCGGCAAATCTCATATCTCTTTAATGTAAAGATAATCTATTTGTGATTTTGTCAATATTTTATTTTTAAAATGTTTCTTCAAAAACTCGACCACAAGAAGCCTCAGTAGGAAAAGAAGGCTTTGGACATTGTAAAATTAATGACAGGCCATATATAGACTATTAGTACATTTATAAAAATATGTTTTAGGTATAAGCTCATTAATATATTTAAACAGGTTAAAAATTAAGCTAGCTGTTTCATCAATGGCTAATCTTTCCGAAGTTTGATTTTTACTAAAGATTTTCATGAAATTTGCTATAGTTGGATCCTGGGTTAAAAACTAATAGCTATATCCTTTGGCAATGCTGAATGACGAAAGAATATCTTTTTATAGCTTTGAAGTAAGATTTAAGACATGTAGAATCGTAGCTAAATCCAAAAGAGAAATGCCAGTAATACCAGTAATCTCCTTTGTAAAAAAATATTAACTAATAACTGTATTTCGTAGCCAGTTTTTGTTGGCAAACGTTTTCTTGCATTTATTATGAACTGTACCTCATATTTTTCTCTTTATCTTAGAAGACCTTATATATATGTTTTTAGTTCTATTGTTTAATAAAAAAAGCCAATTTTCAACCATCCAGTTGTTTTGATATTAAGAGCATCATGCAGATGGGGGAACATTCTTGATACAAAAATATGTTCTCCCACGATTTCTTATTTAGCTACCTAATTTGAATTATTTTTAATTCTCAAATTAGTCTTATTTCTTGTTTTAAGAATAAATTCTTAGCTATATGCTTTTTAATTGGAAAAATACTCGTATAAAGAATTCATTGTATAAAAATTTCTTAACGAGAAAAAGTTGTTTAAGACATTCTCATGAAAAATTCATTCTTCTTTATAAATTTTTTTTTAATGATGTTCGAAAGATTGTCTCAAGTTACCTCCCCAAGATTGCGATGCAAATCCCCCAAACACATAAGATCCGCTTTTAATAATGACCAGTGTTGGTCCCTTTGAGTCACAACGACTGTGAAATGCTCCCTCCAACCATTTACGGATGCTTTGTAACAGCGCTCAGTCAATTTGCCGTGTAAATTCGACGGCAACCATTCTTCAAGCTTTTCTACCCATTTCTTATTCTTTATAATACTTGAGTCCTGCAGGATTGCTAGAGATGAAAATGAAATTCCATATGAAACTTTTGAATGCTTTGTTATTGCTTTAAGTTAACTCTTCAGATATAAATCATTAAGAAAAACAAATTTAGCAATAAAGACTGTCTCGAAATTTTGCTTTACTATAGGAAGTGGCGTAAGTTTGAATTAGGCTGCCAGTAACTTTCCATAATGGGCTAACTTTTTCCCTCCTCCAAAGCTCTAACAACATAAAAAATTTCCCGACTAATCGTTCATATAACAATATTTATTTATATGAAGACTTTGAGTGAGACGAGCACTACTTTATAAAAGACTTTGAGTGAGATATATTCAGTGCTTTCACTTGCCCAAATAAAATAAACACTCATTTCATTCACTTTATTTTCATGAATAACTCCGCAAGGTACTTCCATGGAAAGTAATTGCTTTGGTGCCTACAGCTCTGCACCCAGAGCTCCTATACAGTTATGCCGCAAATTATAAGCGCATATTGCTAAGCATGCTCTAAACATGACGTAAGTTGACTTTCTGGGTATGAAGAGAAACATATAAAGTTTTGCCAAAAGCTAATAACCACTGCACAGTTATTTATGAAAATTATCTTTAAGTTCATGCATATGGTACAGTTTGACGATGAGTGAAAGCTCGACATCTATGAAACAGCATAACCGTTTGACACCTCTACACACACTTATAAACACACACACGCACACAAACCATTCTCCATCACCTCTAACAGCCATATTTCTGTAGTTCAGATAGTGCAAAATGTAAGGCTTGAGGTCAGATTCGAGAACTGCATTCCTTTTATATTTTATACACGTTCCTTATTTTCCTATATAGCTAAATCATATATTGCAAAAGTCATGCACTTGTGATATATTTCCTTCATTGCAAGATTCTTGTATGTAGCAAACCACCAGATTTTATCTTATGTAAAGTCAATAAAACTATATATTTATAATTCAAGTAGCATTTTTGATGCTGACTTACGTGTAGAAAAATAAAAAACTTCTACTTCGTTTGGAGAAAACCTGTACGAGCCAGCCAATAACTTCTTTTCTTTTTGTGCTTCCGTAGGAATAGCCAGATGGGAGCTTGTATACGTAACCAAAGTTTGTGTATGAATTGGAATAGGACCCAGCATTGTTGGCGATATAAATGTCATGACCACCTCCAAATGTTGGTCCATAGTATGTATTTGTGTACATTGCGTATTGCTGATATCTATAGATCGTGGATTTGAAAGGTTTTAGACCATCCTTGTTTTTGAACGAGAAAATAAAGGAATTTGGTGCTCTTATGTAACGACCACTTCCTATAATTAAAGAGAATTTCATAACAACAATTTAGTTGGATGCTCCTTATACAGAGATAGCTCATATTGCTTATTTCTCTCTCCATAGAAAAATCCAACGACTTATTGAAAGTCAACGTGTTATATGGTTATTTGTGATTTTGTCAAGATTTGTTTAACGATTCCAAAAATAAGCCGATTGCAAAAGCATCAGAAAATAATGCTGGATTTCGTAAATTGAGTGAAAAATCAATGAAGCCAAAACTTTTGCATTTCGCTTTCGTCTTTTTTCCGATAATACTCAATAAAAACTCTCCTGACTGACAGTGTAATCCTTTCCATTTATTTTTACGTCTTTATTTTCAATAATTTGACCGAAAATAGTTTGTAAAACGGTTGCAAATCTTGAGCAAGATCATACTTTTTGTTTACAATTTTCACATGAGCAATTACGTCGCCTACAGATAATTTTGAATACTTTGTAGGTGGCAAGACATTGACAATTATAACATTGACCAAGGTTTGAATATTTCTTGATATAATGCGAAAGTCAAATTCAATAATTGTTTTACTGTAGAAACTATTATTTGTAGACATGACGTCATACTTACAGATTTCGAGAATTATTTGCAGGTAGTTGACCAATCTCAACCGATATTGTTTAACTTGTGAATGATAATGTTGATTACTTGTAATTTTTCAATAGTCAGAGCTCGAAAATTTTTGATGATTTATCTTTGTTCATGCGTTTCTATTGTAAACATTTCGTAGTTTTTCTTAGTTAATATTGGCATACATGCATGTGTTAGCCGAAATGAAAAAGTTTTCAAGCAATTTGTATTCATAGATGCATGCATAAGCTACTAAGTCTAAAATTCCTTTCTACTTGCCAATACGTCATTTACAAGATAAAAATAGTTTTCTGTGTTTTGTTTATATTATTAGCTTAACACAGCTACAATTATACAGTTGTCTAATTTTCTCAAGCTTACCACCTCCCCAAGATTGCGATGCAAATCCCCCAAACACATACGATCCTTTTTTGATAATGACTAGTGTTGGTCCCTTCGAGTCACAACGACTGTGGAATTTGTTTGACCTCCAACCATTCACGGTTGCTCTGTAACAGAGCACCGTCTTATGACCTCTTAAGTTCGATGGCAGCCACTTTTGAAGCTGAGTTATCCATTGCGGCTTATTCTTTAGAATACTCGAGTTCCCCAGGATGTTTGCTAGGAATGACAATAAAATCATATATGAACCTTTTGTAAGCTTAACTTCAAGCCGGTAGCTTTAAGTATGACCTGTTTTAGAAACATAAAACATCAAGAAACTGTCATTTGATACAAGTTGACGTTTGTGGATGAAAGCTATTAAGAAAACTTATTATTAGCTTGGCAATGCTCTTTTTTACAAAACTTAAAAGATTATTTTATCAATTTACATTGCCATAGGCATAGCACATTGCATGGTTTCAAATTAGCATAACTTGACTTTTGGACTGTAAACAAATCATCTAAGTTGTTGGCACTTATTGCCAAAGAGCACGTGACTGTGGCCCATTCATTCATACGTGTTCATGTTACTGTTTAATATTTGCTGACCGCATAGCTTTTAATAAACAAATCAATTGTGTCACATCTTCCATTCTCTAAATAAACCTGTTAGCTTTACGCCCCTGTGGCTTAGATTGGAATAAACATTTGAAAATTTCATTCCATTTTGTACGTTCATATATCATGCTTTTATACAGAACTATTGTGCAGTCATTAGTGTTCAGATCCATTTTATATTAATTGATCTATTTCTGTAATTATGAGCCCATATTATGTTTATATTGTGGTTGTCAACTTACATGAATTAACACATAACAACTGGTATGCATCCTCAAACAACTTTACTTCCTTCTAAATATCGTCACAGCAACCCCGAGGGAGATTGTTTCCTGATGCACATAGAGTTGCAAAGGCCTTTTTCTTTTATTGCACCAATTCCTCAACTCTATCGCAGCATATGCTGTCAGCGATGTTCGTAGAAATTGTTAGGACACAAAAGATCACAACAAATATCCACTTGCTCGTCATGCTAAATTACATTGAGAAATAGAACGTCATTGAAATCGTGTTTTGATTATAAGCAGTGTATTGGAAAAGAGTGCTCTTAGTTATGATATGCAGTATTAAATTCCTTTGACATCTATTGTTTTCGACGAATTATTAAATGCATAATAGAATATGACCCTCCTTTCCCCCCTCCCCCCAAAAAATACTGATTTTCCTACACCTATGATATGGTTTGACGAGATTCTTTGTGTTAAAATTTTTCGTTATTTTACGTTCACTGTCATTTTCTGAGACGACAATGCTTATGATAGTTGGAAAATATTGCCGAGTCTTTACTTTGATGGCCATGGTGAAATTTTAGTAACCATCAACAAGATGCAAAATGTGTCGTGCAGCTAGTTCTCCCTGTGCACATTATAAAATTTAACGTTTATTCAAATTCAACATTCAACATTCACGGGTTAAATTGCACTTTGATAATAAATACTACGTTAAGTATCACGACTGTAGCGGATCAAGCGTTCCTCAAAATACATTATAGGTGATTAATTTTAAATTCAAAATACCTTCAGAACAAAACTGTTGGTTATCGATTTTAAAGAATAAAATTTTACCAATGAAGTTTCCTCAAAAGTATTCGGAAATATAAATAAAACCAAAAATAAGGTGCAGTCATTTATTTTGATGTACCTAAATTCGCAACTATATTACGAGATTGATGAAACAAACTTTCACATTCAATGATATTGAAAGTTATATAGCTACAACTCAAAGTTAATGTTAGCTAATATCCAAAGTAAATTATATGAGGTTCGAAGTTATTTTCAAAATAAAATATTTCAGGCTGCACACTCACAGTCGCTCATTTAAATTTGCATATTTAAGACTGAACACTTTTATCAAATGCTACTATGCAACTTTTGTAAGCATTTTTATGCAGGGGCGGATCTAGGAATTTTCAAACATCAGTCATAAAACGCCAGAGACGCTCCGCACCTGGGGGGGTCTGAGGCATTCTCCCCTGAGAAATTTTGAATTTCAGAGCCTTAAAAATGCCATTTTCAGCGTTTTAGAGCAATACAAAATGTATTTTGTGGGCATCGTTTTTGCGTAAACACAACACATCTTGCTTACGTTTTTTTCAAAAAAAAAATGAAGTGAACAATACTTAAATGTTTTGCCAAATATTTAGGCTCATTATCATGCCAAATATATGGCTCATTAGCATGTCTAGGAACGTAAAATTTATTTTACAATAATGCTATTCAAAAACAGATGTAGTCTTTAAAAATTTCTACCAAGTTGTCAGGCATAGACCCCCCTAGAGACCCCCATTCAAACCTCTATGTAATGAGTTAAATTAGAAATTTGGTACGACAAGTGACAGTTCATATATAGAGAAAAGCTCAGATTTCAAATCATGCAAGTTTATTGTAACCCTTTACCCATCTCCACATCAGTGCCAGCAAATTCACCTTTTGAGAAAAAACTCAAAATTTTTTTCTGCCAAAGATTAAGCAAAACTTATCAGAGTGAAAATTTGCAGTTAAGGACAGCTTAATACCATAAATGTTTATTAGGCATTTCACTAGACTATTATCTTCTGCAAGGTGTGCTATATAGCAATCACTAGTAGCATTGTATTATCAAATACAAACAGAATGTAACCAACATATCTTTAATTATATAATTACATGAATGTTAAAATTGGTTTATGTGTCATGCTTACTGGTTACGATAAATATCTTTTCATATGATCAAAGCTCGTTTAAATGTAAATCTGAAATAATTTAGTTTAGAAATTATACTGATCATCAGAAAAATTACATAGTGATCATGAAAAATACTTTGCTGTTTTGCCAAATTTCAAGTTTATCTGCATACATAGGAAGACATTTTTACTTTATAGAAAATGCTTTTCATACATCAATAGCCCTTTGGAATTTATGGCAAACCATCTGGTATGAGCCGTAGATTAACACACCTTTACATCTCTACATGAGGTGTTCAGTTAGAAAAGGGGACAATATGTGACATGGGACAACATTTCATGTATGTGAAATACTCAGGTTTAATACCATTCCAGTAAAATTGTCAAAATAAAAAGCTTCATGGATCAGAAGACTCAAAATCACAGGTTATAGTAAACAGCTTCTCATGTAATCAATGTTAGTTTTCTCAAATCTTAAACGATATGTAGTATAACTGTCCAATGATTGAATGATCAATGATCATAAACTGAAAAGCCCCAAACATTTGTTTATGATAAAGTAAATAGTAGTATGGCGCCTTATGGCTACAGATTTTTTGTCCATTGAAATATATTTGCAGGAATGTAGGATTTCGCTGCCCTATAACGGTCACGATTCCCCAAGCACTAAGGAAATCATAGCTAAAAGTCCTTCGGCAACAACAATTTTAGAAGCATCAATCTGCTTACCATACGCCATATTAACATAAATCGCATCACACACTCGCATAAATTGACTTTGATATATTACATTCATGCATACACTTCAGTTGTCCTTTACTTACGATTTTGGATGTAAATTTCTGCTGGTAAAACTCAAAACAATGTTGGCTTGCTTTTGAACATCAATGACTAAAATGTCGCTCGCGAGATCGTCTTTGCCAAGCATTTACAATTCATCCATAAATTTTTCACCCTGTTGAAAAAATTCCCAGTTTGGAAAGCAGCATTCATGTCAATATATAAATTTGTAAAAGATTTCCATAAATTCCATCTGATTGTAGTTTAGTTTCTATTATGCTTATAAAATTACTATGAAACGATCAAACATTCAATTCAGACAGTGAGCTTGACCAGTGTTGCCACTCACTATTTTACAAATTCCCAAGATTTTGAGCAAAAAGTCCCAAGATCCTTTAAAATATCCCAAGATCCCCCACAATCGTTTCTGGGGGACCTCTTTGTCATGGGTACACGATTAGCCGCACTAATGAACGCATAATGTAAGGACTGGAATGAATTGATTTTTGTTTTAATTTTAATTTCATAAAAATCGATAGTTTATGTATATAAGTGTTGAAATGATTAAATATAGTTCGTGAAACGCAACAGTACATAAAAAGTCAAACATGGTGATGGTAAAATCGTTGAAACAGCCAAATCGACAACATGCTAAGTGCTAACCAGACCCTATCTCAACAGTCTCTTCGTTTACAATGTCATAAACATCAGTCACATTTTCTTCCTGTTCCTGACGCTGACAATGTTTCTTAAAGTACTCCCTCCGACAATGACCAAATTGTACGTCTTTACAAGTTTCGTAGACGGCTCCCACGTGTAGCAATGCGCACCTTGTCGAGCAATAGCTTGTCTTATAATTAATCTGTTCCTCAAAGTTGAACAATGTAGGCGGTTGGTTTTAGGAGTCTTTATCATGTTAACTTGGGAAAAAATTCTCTCGACACAGGCAGATGAGTGAGGCAAAACAAGCAGGTTGCACATAAAATTTCCCAAAAGTTCAAACTTTTTATTGCCGTTACCATCTTTAATAGCTCTGATCTCATCCCAAAACTGTGTTGGGGAATTAGTCATGCCTTTAAGAGAGTCTGTGGCATATAACAATTGCCTCCACTGATCATCAAGTTCATCCAATTGATCTTCAGACACTAAAGACGAAAAATGGTGTGCTAATACCGCTATCGAGTTTAATGACCGCCTGCTGGATAATGCCTCTGAAGGGTTGACTGCTGATAACAAAGCTCGAACTCCATCACTTTTGAAAGAAAACCTCTTCTTTATTTGGTCACATAACTCAACGAGAAAGTTACGGCAATCGTTTCTGAAACGTTGTTCTTGGCTACCCAAAGACTGTTGGGTGCACAGGACTGTACATCTTCCTCCAAGATGAATATCGTTGAGAGGCTTGTATAGCTTTACGTCATTTGGATCAATCTCGTCCAACGGTGTTTCTCGTACGACTTTGTCGTGGATAAACATGGCCAAAATGCTTCTATACTCATCCGATATAGAACTGTACAGTGTGTGCAGCTTGAAATCTTGAGCCTGAAATTCAGCATTTAATCTGTCCACTTTTGACAATATGTAATTTAGGAATGCCATAATATGCTTGGTTCCATTCGTCGTCATGGTTTCATAGATCTTGACTGCCCCGTCTACACGATCACATGGAGACTCAGATTGAAAGAAAAGTTTTAATGCATCCCATTGCTCTAAAATTCTGGCAACAACTTGGCCTCGGGAGAGCCATCTCGTCTGTGAAAGCTTGAGAACTTTATGACGAGGCGCTTCAACAATATCTTGTATGAGACGGAACTGGTGTTGTCGCCGACTGCTATGGGAAAAATAACAGCAGACATCTTTCACAAATGCTTCCAACCATGAAGGTAGGCGACAACTTGCATAGTGTGCGCAGAGAGCAAAGGAGTGACAAATGCGACCAAAGACAAATACACCAGGTACATCTTTTTTTAAAAGACGTGTCACACTTATTTATAAATTCATAATACGAGATAATATTACCTATAAAATATTTAAACAAAATATCCCAAGATTTTACAATATTTCGAAAAAAACTCCCAAGATCCCAAGCTTGAGCAGAAAATCCCAAGATCTTGGGAGAAATCCCAAGGCGTGGCAACACTGAGCGTGACTACTAAGACTAGAATGCACAGCGCGCATTTTCATTAAATATGAATAAAGCATATGGTCTATTGATAATTTCGTGGCAACATCTACATTCTTTTAGATTAACCAAGAGAGGAACACGGCACTTACCACAATTGCACCTAAGAAAGTTCTCTGTCAAAAACTTCGGCAACAATAAATAAACAAATTTTCCAACTTTTCTTACCAAGAATCAAGAGGAACTTCATTTTTCATTCTGCGTTCGAGCTCTTCTGTTTGGCGTCTTTGTTCTTCTGTCTCTCTATTATAGTTTCTAACCACTCATCATCAGCAAGTGGTTCGTTTTCATACGCTGCAGCTTGGCCGTACTCAAAATCGCCATCTGTGTTTCGGAGCGCATTTAATGACGATTGATCTTCGTCTTCGAAATCGAATTCCCGACTGTTCAATTCAATATTTTCCGCTGTTGTTGCTGTATTCGACTCAGAATCGGATGTCGACATGTTTCGTACAATTTTTATATTAATTTCAAAGCAATATATAAAGAATTGTTATTTCACACTGTGTTGTTTTGTATGCAGCGCATTCATACGTTCCTTAAATGACGTCACAAACCTCTCGTCTTTAGTCCCCTCAGAGGCGCGGAAATTTTTCTAAAGCAAGCTAATTCAAACCGCCAAAAAAACTTTGTTTTTATTTTTTTTACGAAATTTTCTTCGAAATCATATTTTCTACAGTCTAAACTTTTAAAGTTCAACGAATTTGGGAAGGCTGTATGTGCACTTTAAGTTACGTCACAGAGACTTGATCCAGGCCCTATGCCAATTATCAACTTTTACTGTCAAATTTCATATTTGATCAATAATAATTCGAAAACAACGCAGCGCATGAAAAAATTGTAATATAAGTTTCAGATTACTTTTGAAGAAGCAATACGAAAGTGCTATAAAAAAAATTGTGAGATATGCACTTTAAGTGCGACATAAAAATCACACACTATCTAATCTTTCGCAAAGTCATTTCTCCATTTACGGCAAGATTTGCTCCTAGGTATTTCAAATCAAGTAATAAGTTGAGTGAAATTGCTGTCTTCAAATAGTTATGAAGTGATTTTATAGCCCTACTTATTGAGTGTCAGTGTGGGTGGAGTTTTAGAATGCGGACGTTAATGTATGTGCCTTGTGCAAAATTTTAAATCAAATGACCAAATAACTGTCTAACCCTTTCTAATTTGCCAAATGCCCTTCCAGCCTTCCTTACATTTAATGTCACATAATTGTGGTCACATCTATTGTTCATCATTATACACAGAATAATAAAAATACGTATATAAGAGCCACTTAATTGAAATCTTTTGGACCACATATATCTATTAAGCATGTGATTTTCATAATGGCAACCAGTCAATTGCCGTTCATCACTAATAAACATCATACAGTGTTGCAGAATATTGTGCTCCAGTTTGGTCTCGCTCTAAACACGTGAATAAGTTAGATGTATTGCTAAATGACTCAATGCGAACAATTTCTGGAACATTAAAATCAACCCCAACCCCTTGGCTACCTGTAATGAGTGCTATAGCTCCACCTAACATACGCAGACAGGAAGCAGCACAGAAACAACATCATCGCATTGAAAATACACAAATTGACACTGCACTAAAAACTATTATCCAGTCTGCCCCAACTACTTCGAGACAAAAATCACGAAAACCTTTTCATAACTCCAAGATTGAATCGTTTGATTTCAACAATACATGGAAGGAACAATGGTCCGAAAATAAACCAAGGGGTGCTGATCTAATTAAAGATCCCACAAATCTCCCTCTCCCTGGTTTCAGGAAACTAACTAGTAAACAATGGAGCACTTGTAACCAAATTAGATCGAAACAGGGCAGAACAGCAAACAGCCTATACCGATGGGGCTACAAAGACTCAACAACTTGCCCATCATGTAACGTCACCAACCAGAATATGGACCATATCATCCTGCAATGTCCGTTCACACGCATTGAAGGCGGCTACGCAACAGTGCATAAAGCAGATGATGACTTCGCAAGCTGGCTTGATGAGACACACATGGAGGTGTGACTACCATACGAAACTACTACTACTAATAAACATGATGAAATGACATATTGCAGCAAAGAAGTCTAATTAAATATATATAATGTACAGTGAAGCGATCCTTGACTTTGCATTTTCATTGTTTAGTTTCAGGGTTGTAATGGCTATTTATTTCTCAGCTACAAGTTTGGCTTTGATTTTTATAATAAGTTTCAGTTCACAATATTCAAATGTAATTTTCGTAGTGTTAAGTGACAAAAGCAACTATGAGAAGTGAGAACAATGCAAAGAAAGACGTAAAATGTGTAAAAGGGTTAAATGACAAAGACTTTTTCAGCCAAAAAATGTTTCAAGACTAACGTTTATTTTACATACAAGCAGCTGGCGGAATCCCATTTAAATGTATGCGTATGCATGATATATTTAGAAAACTCAGGTGATTAATTCAAACATTGCAGTTGTTTATGCATCCTATAGCTGTGTATTGATATCATAAACCTTATGCAAAGTATTTCTCATTACTAACCTTCTTTTCATCTCAAAACCTAAACTTATACAGCAGCTTACACACAATGACCTAAAGTCATCATCAACTATAGAGGAATCTTACAAGACAACAGCATGTCGAAAAGAAAAGTTTTGTTGCAATTAATAAGTGCAAAATAAGTATTTCAATTCTCATTTAAGGAATTACAATATTGGTTACTTTGCATAGTTATTGAATGATTACAATTATTATCTATGAGATTATTTGCTACGTGCGACAGCTAATTCGGTTAACTTAACAAAAAAGGAGAAAACATGCTTTCTTAATGACACTTTTTATTCGTGAATGGTCCGATTATTATGAGGAGAAATAGAACACTTCAATTTCGTTTGGACGAAATTGGTAGGAGCCACCCAACAATTTCTTTGCTTTGTTGCTCGCGTACGAATAGCCTGATGGGAGCTTGTACGTATGACCAAAGTTTGTGTACGAGCTTGTGCTGGTTCTGGATTGTTGCCGATTTTCAAATCATGACCACCTCCAAACGTGGGTCCATAGCTGCTGCTTGTGTACATTGCATATTGTTGATATCTATATATTGAGGATTTGAAAGGGGCCAGACCAGCCGGGTTTTTAAGAGAAAAAATAAAAGAATCTGATGCTCTTATGTAACGGCTACTTCCTACAAATAAACAACATAAAACAATTACATTTCAATTAGAAATTCTTATTGCTTTCTTTAGTGATTATTTGTTAGTAATTTCCATTCCTTTTTGGTGAGTCAAAAAGATATTATATATTTATGCATGACAAATTTCTGAGTTCTGATTGGTTAAAAGCAATGAAAATTTCAGAGAAACACCAGTGCTGATTTCTCTTCTAATGATATACATGAAAAAATTTCTCAATTCTGATTGGTTTAGAGGAGGGAAATTTATCGTAAATACCAGTGCAAAAATAGGAAACACAAGGCAAAAAAAGGAAATACAGTGCAATCTATTTTTGAAAAATGCGCTCCTGACTGGTTAGTCAAACAAAAAAATGTTCTAAGAGCCAATCAAAATAAACATTTCAAAAGCGGGAAAGTTAAATTATTCTAAAAAAAGCAATTACAACGACTGGCGTAAGTTTTCTTTAGTAAAGTGGATTTTCTTTAGCGAAGGAGTTTACAGCTCACCGTTTGCAAAGTGTTTCTGGATGAAAATAACAATACTGCTAAAAGTAGATACCTTGTTCTAGCTGCGTGTGCATAAGTTATGATGCCCTGAAAATAATATCCGACGGAATTGAAAAATACGAACCGGTTGATCAAAGATTAAACTCGCCGGCTGCAATGTACGTACGCTGAAGTCAAAAATCAACGGAATTGAGAAATTTTTTCATGTATATGATTAATAAGGAATTGCATGGTTTCTCGTGCAATTTGAAAAACAGGCACTCGCGAGTTTTTCAAAGACTTCAAATTGAATTGTCCTTAGGACTTTTGATAGTCTTTGAAAAACTTACTCGTCCATGTTTTTCCCAAGTTGCACTCGAAACCATGCTATTACTTATAGAAAGTGCACCTGATTAGTTAGTCAAACAAAAAGGTAATGAAAATAAAGCCAATCGAAATAAATCATTTCAATGGCGGGAAATTTAAGTTATTGTAAACAAAAGCAAATGGATACAATGGCCAGCGTAAATTTTAAGTAGATTTTCTTTAGAAACCGAGTCTACAGTTCTGTATTTGGAAGACATTTCCGAAAATGCGAACACTTCTGGTTATAGCTATCTTGTTTTTGGCTTTGTGTTTGGAAGCAATGGTGTGAAAAAATTATTTGAACGAATTAAAAAATTACGAGCCGGTCGATAGTTATAACTTGCCAGTTGAACCGTGCGACGCTCAAGTCAAAAATTAACAGAATTGAGAAACTCTTTTATTTAGCTATATTATTAAATTATTTTTATGCAATTTGTAAATCATGGACTCGTGAGTTTTTTTATAAATCAATTTGCATCTCGTATGCAAACTACGTATAACTATAAAAATATGGTTTGGTGCTGGTCAAAGTTGCAAAAAAACTGCGGGTAGACTGGTACTATCGGCGAATAAAATTTTCGAGGATGATTCAAAGTTGAATACTGGAAGTTAAGCACATGCATGCATGTACCCGTAACACCCGGTTCGCATAGCTGATGTGAGTAATATGATGTTGTTTTGACGAAGATTTTCAAAACATGATATCCCACCCTGACGAAGATTTAACTTTTTTATAACTCTGGTGTTGCTAAATGACAAAAGAAATATTGGGCTATATAACTTTAAAACAAGATCAAAGAAATGTAGAATGCATGTCCATAAGATAACTCCCATTGATTTTTTTATAACTAATACAGTTCATGCACTTATTTTAAAACATAGGTATATCATCCCCCCAATTATCGTTCGTTCTGACTACGTTCCTGCCGGCGTGTAAAAGATTTCAATAGATTTGTTTTTATAAATACATGCTTAAGTTTGAAAACAATTTAGAATTAGAGCGGGCTTACCTCCCCAAGACTTTGATGCAAATCCTCTAAAAATACAACCTCCATATTTAACAATGACCAGTGTTGGTCCCTTTGAGTCACAACAACTGTGGAATGTACTTGCTCCATCCATTCGATGTTGCTTTGTAACAGCGCTTCGTCTTTTTGCCATATAAATTCGAAGGTAACCATTTTTGAAGCTTTCCTATCCATTCTTGTTTATTTTTCAGAATAACTGAGTTCTGCAGGATCACTATAGGGGTGACAATGAAATTTTATGTTAAATTTTTGAACGTTTCGCCCTTGTTTTGACGGATCTCTTTTTCATATAGACATTAAGGTGGTTTGTGAAATTACTCCTTCGAAACACGTCGCTAAGACATACAAAAAGTTACGTATAACACCTCCAGTTAGACAACAAAGTTCCTCTAAAATCTGCGAGGAGGCCGTAGAATATTTTACCTAATATAAATTCCTAATATAGTGTATCATTTTTCTACGTTAGCTAAATGTGTTTACAATATCGTTTAAAAGGTGTTTACAATTTCTTCAAAATACATCACATTACTGGTGACAAAGATAGTTCACTTATATTCCAGAAAAGCATTTTTAACCTTCATAAATCAGTTTTAGCCATATTTTTACTCTAAAATGCACTCGCTTTACCACAAAAAAACATGGTTTGAACCTTGCTTCTGGCAGTTATCTGTTGCACCGAAAACTTCCAAGTTGTACTTTTTTTATTAGTTATTTATTCTGTGCACCTGTCCTTTATATTTGGCAAAAAATTAGACTACGAAAGACAGATTTGAAAATTATATCCCATTTTATTTCTTCATGTATCCATTTATCATTTCTTATAGTTTTGTAAAGATGGCTTTTGCATGATGTTCCAATTTTACGATATATTTCCATGGTTTAAGTTTGGTGTAGGTATATATACCAAGACGCACGCGATTGTAGTTAACTAATAAACATTATTATCATTATTATGATGCCATATTTTGTTTAAAATATGGTGTTATAACTTACATGGCGAAAAATAAAATGCTTCCACTTCGTTTGGAATAAATTTGTACGAGCCAGCCAATAAGTTCTTTGCTTTTGTGCTCCCGTAAGAATAGCCAGATGGGAACTTGTATGTATAACCAAAGTTTGTGTAAGAATTGGAATAGGACCCAGCATTGTTGGCGATATAAATGTCGTGACCACCACCAAATGTTGGTCCGTAGCTGCTGTATGTGTACATTGAATATTGTTTGTATCTTGTAACATTGGATTTAAAGGGTGCAAGATTATCTTTGTTTTTAAAGGAGAAAATGAAAGCTTCTGGTGCTTGTATGTAACCAGAACGTCCTCCTGTAATTTAACAGTAATACACAAAACATTTGAGTTAAAAGTTTCATATATGAAGATGATGTTGATATTTTCTATTTCACTAATCAAACTTTATGCTTTTTGACTGAAACAATGACCCGCTATACAAAACTTGCCATGAATTACTTTTGAAATTCAAGATAATTTGTTTACAATTTTTGCTAAGATTTCACTTCTATATGAAAAATTCGATGAGGATTAATTCTTAGATATAACGTCAACGTAATATCTTAGACGTGCAGATATAAGACAACTCCACTTAGCCTTATTCAATCAGTTTGTCATATTTTTATTGTTATCATATTGAAATAAGCACTAAGATTGGCTTAACTATTGTTTGCTTACATATATATTTGTAATATTCCGACATGAGGAAGTTCCAAGCCTGTATATATCTATAGATTCCCAATAAAGGTACCGAACATGCAAATGATATCTGTGTTATCCCTTACAAAATTTGCATTATATTATAAAAACTATTTTCTTCTGCGTGCCACATCATTTTTATCTTAGAATGACCACTGAATTCAAAAGGTATTCACATGCAATTAATGTCATATAAGTCACTCGACCTTACCTCCCCAAGATTCTGATGCAAATGCCCCAAACACATACGATCCCTTTTTAATAATAACCAATGTTGGTCCTTTTGAGTCACAGCGACTGTGAAATGTCCTCCCTCACCATCCATTTTTCGTTGCTTGGTAACAGCGCACCGTCTTTTTGTCATTCAAGTACGAAGGCAGCCATTGTTGAAGCTTTCCGATCCATCTCTTTTTGTCCTTTAGAATGCTTGAGTCCTGTAGGATTGCTAGACGTGAAAATAAAATCTTATATGAAACGTTTGAATTGCATGCTTTACTAAGCAAACTCTTTATGTAATAAAAGGCAAAATAAAAAGGTCGTTTAATTCTACAAGAGCATTTGAAGGAGAGAAAGAATTTTGGTTTTGCCAAGAGAAATGTGAATTTAGCCTATTTATTTACCCCTGCATCTTTTCTTTATGCAATACATGCATATATGTTGCAGTTTGGCATTTACTGATAAAACCGCATTTACCAAACAACGCAGTGTAACCACATCCCTCATCTAACTTATTACACACGTCATAGCTACCTCACTGTTTTTTAGAGTAAGCTAAAAACATTAGATTTAGATAAGTCAGATTTGAAACGTATATTCCATTTCATAAAGTAATACAATAGGACCACAATAACATGAGCTCTTCGCGAGCTCAATGTAAATTTATGCAGTGCGCTGCTGGATTTGATTTTATTTAATTTATATCAATTTACTCCTTTTAACTCGAACGTGCATACTCGAACGAATTTCAATTTTACTTCAGGTCAAATTTCCCTGGATGACTTGAGCTTTAATCTCGAAACATAAAAGGGTAAGCTTCAAGGGTGAAAATTATATAAGTAAAAAATACAACTTTGATTTAAACAGCAAAAATTGATAAATCATGCATTCCACATAGTTATATAAGTTGATAATGAGTAATTTGCCTGAAAAGTATCAAAATTTTGATATTTCTGAATTTGTAATTATGAAAAGTTCGGTCTTGCAAAGTACTTTACTAACCCTTGAACTATTTGTATATTGCTGTGTTGCAGCTTACAATTGTGAGCGAATACTGAAATTACCCATGCTTTCGTATAATCACGTAATATATACAAAGTATAACAACTCACAATTTCCTTGAACCTCAAGAGAACACAAGTTATTGGGGTTTTACTGTACACACGAGTATTTTTTGTAGTTCTTGCATAATGAAATGTCTTTGCAATTTCAATTCCATGATTTCAAATGTCATGTCACGCGACTTGTGTCGCTATACACGCCAAACTGCTGAATTTAAGCTGTTGTTTTTATGACGCCATATATGATTAAGATTTTTAATGTTAACTTACGTGTGGAAAAATAATAGACTTCCAGCTCATTTGGTGTAAATCTGTATGACCCAGGTAACAGGTTTCGTGTTTTGGAGTTACCAGCAGAATAGCCAGATGGGAGCTTATATCCATAGCCGAAGTTTGTGTATGAGCTGGAACTGGATCCGGCGTTGTTAGCAATATAGATATCAAAACCGTATCCAAATATGGGTCCATAGTATCTATTTGTGTACATTGCGTATGCATTATTGGATGTATTTGATTTAAAAGGTGCCAGACCATCCTTGTTTTTAAAGGAGAAAATGAAAGAGTTTGCTGCTCGCATGTAACGACTGTTTCCTATAAAAAGACAGACATACAAAATTACATTTAAGATGGAGCATTTACGATGGAGCATAGGAATTCCTAGCACAGATATAACAATGCCATTTGTCAATTCTATATTTTCAATGATCGAATCTTGTAATTCTTAGTTGGAACTTTATGGCTCTTCATCGGCAAATCTCATATCTCTTTAATGTAAAAATCGACCACAAGAAGCCTCAGTAGGAAAAAAAGGCTTTGGACATTGTAAAATTAATGACAGGCCATATATAGAATATTAGTACATTTATAAAAATATGTTTTAGGTATAAGCTCATTAATATATATAAACAGGTTAAAAATTGAGCTAGCTGTTTCATCAAGGGCTAATCTTTCCGAAGTTTGTTTTTTACTAAAGATTTTCATGAAATTTGCTATAGTTGGATCCTGGGTTAAAAACTAATAGCTATGTCCTTTGGCAATGCTTAATGACAAAAGAAATGTCTTTTTATAGCTTTGAAGTAAGATTTAAGACATGTAGAATCGTAGCTAAATCCAAAAGAGAAATGCCAGTAATCTCCTTTGTAAAAAAATATTAACTAATAACTGTATTTAGTAGCCAGTTTTTGTTGGCAAACGTTTTCTTGCATTTATTAAGAACTGTACCTCATATTTTTCTCTTTATCTTAGAAGACCTTATATATATGTTTTTAGTTCTATTGTCTAATAAAAAAGCCAATTTTCAACCATCCAGTTGTTTTGATAAGAGCATCATGCAGATGGGGGAACATTCTTGATACAAAAATATGTTCTCCCACGATTTCTTAATTAGCTACCTAATTTGAATTATTTTTAATTCTCAAATTAGTCTTATTTCTTGTTTTAAGAATAAATTCTTAGCTATATGCTTTTTAATTGGAAAAATACTTGTATAAAGAATTCATTGTATAAAAATTTCTTAACGAGAAAATGTTGTTTAAGATATTCTCATGAAAAATTCATTCTTCTTTATAAAATTTTTTTTAATGATGTTCGAAAGATTGTCTCAAGTTACCTCCCCAAGATTGCGATGCAAATCCCCCAAACACATAAGATCCGCTTTTAATAATGACCAGTGTTGGTCCCTTTGAGTCACAACGACTGTGAAATGTGCTCCCAGTCCAACCATTCACGGATGCTTTGTAACAGCGCTCAGTCAATTTGCCGTGTAAATTCGACGGCAACCATTCTTCAAGCTTTTCTACCCATTTCTTGTTCTTTATAATACTTGAGTCCTGCAGGATTGCTAGAGATGAAAATGAAATTCCATATGAAACTTTTGAATGCTTTGTTATTGCTTTAAGTGAACTCTTCAAATATAAATCATTAAGAAAAACAAATTTAGCAATAAAGTCTGTCTCGAAATTTTGTTTTACTATAGGAAGTGGCGTAAGTTTGAATTAGGCTGCCAGTAACTTTCCATAATGGGCTAACTTTTTCTCTCCTCCAAAGCTCTAACAACATAAAAAATTCCCGACTAATCGTTAATATAACAATATTTGTTTATATAAAGACTTTGAGTGAGATATATTCAGTGCTTCCGCTTGCCCCAAGATAATAAACACTCATTTCATTCGCTTTATTTTCATGATTAACTCCGCAAGGTACTTCCATGGAAGTTAGTTGCTTTGGTGCCTACAGCTCTGACACGCAGAGCTCCTCTACAGTTACGCCGCTAATTGTAAGCGCTATTGCTAAGCATGCTCTAAACATGACGTAAGTTGACTTTCTGGCTAGGAAGAGAAACATATGAAGTTTTGCCAAAAGCTAATAGCCACTGCACAGTTATTTATGAAAATTATCTTTAAGTTCATGCATATGGTACAGTTTGACGATGAGTGAAAGCTCGACATCTATGAAATAGCATAACAGTTTGACAACTCTCCTACACGAACACTTATAAACACACACATGCACACAAACCATCCTTCATCACCTCTAACAGCCATATTTCTGTAGTTTAGATAGTGCAAAATGTAAGGCTTGAAGTCAGATTCGAGAAATGCATTCCTTTTTATATTTTTATACACGTTCCTTATTTTCCTATATAGCTAGGTCATATATTGCAAAAGTCATGCCCTTGTGATATATTTCCTGCATTGCAAGATTCTTGTATGTATCAAGCCACCATATTTTATCTTATTTAAACTCAATAAAACTATATATATATAATTTAAATAAAATTTTTGTTGCTAACTTACGTGCAGAAAAATAAAAAACTTCTACTTCGTTTGGAGAAAACCTGTACGAGCCAGCCAATAAGTTCTTTGCTTTTGTGCTTCCGTAGGAATAGCCAGATGGGAGCTTGTATACGTAACGAAAGTTTGTGTTTGAATTGGAATAGGACCCAGCATTGTTGGCGATATAAATGTCATGACCACCTCCAAATGTTGGTCCATAGTATGTATTTGTGTACATTGCGTATTGCTGATATCTATAGATCGTGGATTTGAAAGGTTTTAGACCATCCTTGTTTTTGAACGAGAAAATAAAGGAATTTGGTGCTCTTATGTAACGACCACTTCCTATAATTAAAGAGAATTTCATAACAACAATTTAGTTGGATGCTCCTTATACAGAGATAGCTCATATTGCTTATTTCTCTCTCCATAGAAAAATCCAACGACTTATTGAAAGTCAACGTGTTATATGGTTATTTGTGATTTTGTCAAGATTTGTTTAACGATTCCAACAATAAGCCGATTGCAAAAGCATCAGAAAATAATGCTGGATATCGTATATTGAGTGAAAAATCAATCAAGCCAAAACTTTTGCATTTCGCTTTTGTCTTTTTTCCGATAATACTCATCAAAAACTCTCCTGACTGACAGTGCAATCCTTTCAATTGTTTTTACGTCTTTATATTCAATAATATGAGCAAA